GCGCTTCTGGATCGCGGCAGGCACGCACGAGGCTGCGCGCGCGATGAGTTGGCTGCTGAAGTGTCGTCTGCGCCGTACAGACACCTGGTTGCGTTGGATTGCAGCCGTCGTGATGGCAGGTCGAAGGAACAGCAACGTGGCCCATGCGCACGATAGCGCTTGGCCAGCAGGCCTGCGCCATCGCGGCCAGGGCGGCCCGGCGCGCTGATTGGCCGCGGCTACGGTCGGTGTGCCGGTTCCAGGAACAGCTTATTTTAGGCTGGCCGCGAAGCAACCATAGTTCGCGCACGAGGAGAGACCCGTCCCCGCGGAGAGGGCGAGGGTGCCCTGTTCCGACAGGGCGGTCTACAGAACTGAACGGAAAACACTGAGGATGCTAAACTTATGCATGGCCGTGACACAAGTCGAGGTGGAGCCTGCACGACCCCTCATGACGATGCGCTGCGCTGCGCTGGGGCTGGAAACAATCCTGGTCGGTCCGGACGGACGGCGGCCCAACCAGCAGGCGGTATGTTGCATCTGTTTGTCGAAGTTCACAATTATCCAGAGTTTATACGAAGCAATCCTCTGTGCGAAAGTTATGCACTGTTCGCAGCGATCCTCATTGGCTGGCGATTGGCCAGCAAGCTCGGCTGCTGGCGCTATCCACGGGACTCCCGCTAGTTCGTAAGCGAGCCCCGCTAGCCCCGATCGGAGCAGGCAAGAGCTCTCTCGTCACTTCCCAGGTCGTAACCTGACTGCTCCTTCCGATCGTCTTCCATTTCTTTTTATTTCATCCGATCTGATGCCGTATAAAAGGCGCAGCCTTCCCCGCATCTAACGCGGCAAGTTCCTAGAACGGGTGGCCACAGCGCTGCGCTTCGACTCGCGACCGTTGAAGACAGCTGCAACGATGCAGACGGAGTGTCCTCCGGAGGTTGCAGCTTGCAGCAGAGACTTTGACTTTTCCTTAGCATGCGTGCACGTTCCATCCCGCCAGTTCGGTTTTTCTTTCCTCTCCGACTTATCAGACAGCTCAGCTGTACGAGTAGCCAGGATGGATGAATAAAACCAGCATGGGTGAATATAGCCAGCGTGGATGAATTGCTCGACAGGTCGTTTACGTGACGTCAGTCAGGACGAAGTATTCATTGAAAATATCGCACTGATCGACCGATCCGAAAGTTCTTTCTTTTTCATCCGATCTGGCGGTTCTCAATCCCAATCGAGGCATGTTTTAGCCTGGTTGCAACGCGAGACCCAATTTCAAGACTTTGACCAAGATTGTGCAGTGCAGGGATTGTACTGTAGTAGCCTGCTGTCATGTCGGGCTTCAGAGTTCAGCCTTGTGTGGTGTGAGCTGCAGGCAACGCTGTCCGTGGAAAGTGCTGAATTTCAAGTTTTTTCCAAATATTCGGTTTTGCGACCGCCACTGACGACTAGGTAGCTAAGCTATGATATGATAGCTCTCCCCGACGATGCTTCACCGTACATTAGGTACAGATACGAGGTCTAGTCTGGATCGCCCAACTGACTAACTGACTAACCACAAGACAATTGATCTTGTCTTGTCAAACAAGAAGTAAAAGGAAGAGAATTTCTACACTCTGTACAAAGCAGATATATATAGAGAGATTGTGAAACTGAAATTAACCTTTCTGGCCCCGTTTCAGATAGATAGATAAAGATACCAGTCGATAGGCACATAGCACCTAGACAGGAAAGTACGGTACGGTAGGGGAGTGGGGACCAGGTAGATCATCATCGTCGTAATTAATTAACTCCGGCTCCGTCGCTGTTCTCACCGTCTTGTTTGATTTTCGTTTGAGGTTGCGTGCTTGATCCACTCACCACGAGGGAGCGAGCTGAGCTGAGTCCTGACTGTACTGTATGATCGACCGGACCGGGCTGAATGGCACCTCCAATGATGTCAGCAAGTCAAGGTGCAGAGAGTTCACGAAGTTCACGTGTTTTTGTTTGCGGGGTTTTTTTTTAACGAATTCCAAATCATGGATGGCTCGAGTTACCTGCCTAGGCTAGTTAGGTAGTTAGGTAGGTAATCCGCTTTCGCGGGTAATTAATAATAAAAATAACAATTGGCCCCAAGTTCCAACCGAAGAAGAATTTTTCTTTCTCTGTACGAGGGACGCATGTATGCGTTATTAATATTCAATCCAATTGATCATTGCACTACGGTGAATTTTCTCGAGGTAGGTACCTAATTGTGGATAACCAAGCAACGGGCGAAAAGGGCGGTACCTACAGTACGGTTGTACCTAAACAAGTGGAGCAGAGACCGAGCTGAGCGGGTACGACGTCGGGTCGGTACGGAGGAGTACAACAGTACTGCAGTAACTGCACATGTACCTTAGGTAGCTACCTTAGGCGCAGTACAGTACATACTCTACATTCCTTTCGTTATGTGATTGGTTAGCGGTTGATTGATGGCTGATGGGATGAATCCTCAATGGAATTCAGTTCTGCAGACTGCCTGTTCTGGAAAATCGTCCCAAAAAAGCAACCAAAACAAGTCCAATAATGCCATGGCAAGGCAAAGCTCAATGCCTGGCTAGGTAGGTAGTATACAACTTTAAAGTTCTGCAGATGCCAGATGCCAGGTCCAATTTCAATTCCATTCTCGTGCCATTGTCCTTTTTCATTCTAGTCTGGTGTGGCTGTTAGCCTGTTACCATTACTCTGTATGGAGTAGAGATAGATGCTCGCCAGGTCCTGACCTGAGAATCCTCACAGCACCAGCTGTTAAGCTCGCACTCAGTGTAGGTATAAACGAACACTCACGTTATCTTCAATATACCAAGTTCTTAGACCATCTAAAAATCCCTTATTCGTAACCATTATAATATTAATATATATTTTTCAGAACCTCCTGGCACAAGAAGGTCAGAGTCTCTGTGACGTATTCTCACACAAGACCAGATATAGTTTTGGGGATTTAAGTAGCAAAGTTCGCAGCACTTGGACGGAGTCTCCGTGGCGCAATCGGCTAGCGCGTCTGACTGTTAACTGTTATTCAACAGTGCAATCAGGAGGTTGGCAGTTCGAGCCTGCCCGGGGTACGTTTTTTTTTTTGGATTTTCTCTACGCCCGTTTCTCTCATACGGGGGCTTTTATGAAGAAATACGCCCGGGAGTACGGCTACACTCGACGAACAAAATTTTTCGTTTTAGCGGCCCCCACAGCGCTAAAATTTTAGCGCGTTGGCAATTGCATATCTAATCACGTGACTGACTCATTGGTTTGCTTTATTTGACAATTGACCCTTATGGTGTAAATTCACTGTTCCTAGTTAGGAAACTAGTAAGTACGGAGTATCTGTACATGTACTCAACTCCTATCCAGTGTTATTAGTACAGCGCATACATAGGTTCCTACCTACACGCCAAATCACCGTCATCATCATATATCATACGATACGATAGTCGAGTGGGCCAGAGAGATGGACAAACAGGTAAACAGGCAGACACGTGGCGGTTGGAATCGACCGACGTAGCGACTATGTATGCCGGTACGGAGTACCTAGATACTAGGTACTAGATACTCCGTACGTAGTGTACGATAGCTTCAGCTAGTTGTCTAGCTGTCTACTCCGTAGTTGATAGGTAGCTGATATTATTGTTTTTTTTTTGGCTCACCGATAATTCGTCTCTGTACTTTGTACTCCGTTCACGGTACAGAGCATGCATGGTCAGTTCGCTACTTTATCACTATTCATTCTCGGACTGGTTTACTCACAAATTAACTGTTAATTCAATGGTTAATTATTAGCTGTGGTTTATTTCTCCTCAATTGCTTTTATGACTAGCTCTGTGCAACTATGTAAGTGAGTTGCGATAGAAATATATATTTTGCTATCCTTGCAACTGCTCCTCCTTGCAGAGTAACAGCAACAAAAACGAATAATGAATAAGGACATCAATGATGCTTGACCAGTTGTGTACCTCATCATACGCATGAAATCATTGATTACGTGTGCTTTTTTTTTCTTACTCTCTATCTGCAACGAGCTCTTAAGACAGAGCAGATCCTGACCTATACTATAGATTAATGCATTATGCTAGCATAGTATATACCTGCACGAGACAGATATGATACTCCGTAGTACTCGTCCAGAGTACTGAGTAAGAAGGAACAAGGATACAGACACCTGTCTTCTGATTTTGCATGTACGGTACACTCTGGCCTGACCTGGTATGTTGTGTAGTAGTAATCTTAATCCCGTCGAGGAGGGAACATAAGACTTAGGATCTGCTCACTCACTTCTGGTCATCTATTTTTTTTTTCGTAGCTAGCTAGGTAGGTAGGTAGACAGGGGTCTTTCCTTCCTTCTTTCTTTCTTCCCCCCTTTTTTTCTCCCATCAATTAACTCACTTTTATGTACAGTACAGGATGTACGGAGTATGCATTGCAACATAATCGGCATTTATCTACCCATCTATCTATCTCTCTATCCATCGGCTCATATGCAGGATTTCAGAAATTGATCGATCGATGTTTCTTTCTCTGACTTGAAATGAATGAGCGAGCAAAGGGAAATGAATGAAGGAACAGCAACGGAATTAAGTATTAGTACAGTGCGTACATACATACATACATACATACATAGGTCAGATATTTCCAATCAACAAAATCACAATTTTTATTCATTCAACACAATTCGGAATGAAGCAGGGGAAAAAAAAACATATAACGAACAGTTAATACATCTTACTTGTCCCGAGAAATCGAGTAGAATGAAATGAAGTCTTGATTGAAAAGGAAAAGAAAAAAAAAAAGAGGAGTCAAATTGACAGGAAAGAACTGCAACTGACTCAGTATGAGTTGAGCATGGAATTCAACTCAATTCAATTGACACAACAGGAACGGGCTGAAACTGAACCCTAACTACCTACCGTCATTTCTCATCCCTTTTGAAAGGTATATATTTTTTCTTCAATGCCTATAAAAGGATCAATCATTTCCCGTAAATGTTTTTTTTTTCGCAGCCTCCTTTCTATCCTAGGCCAGGTCAGACATGTGGAATCTGAAGTCCTGAACTCAACTCAGAAATGAGGAATCACCTCGAAGCTATTAGGAATGGAAGGAATTTATTGATTGAATGAAGATACGGGATATACAGCATAGCTATCAAAGGAAAAAAAGAAAGAAGACGGGAAACACTCTCAACGGCATATATTTAAATACATTACTCCTTTTTTTTGGGCCGTTCTGGTGATGAGGGGATTTTATTTTCTGTCTGTCTGTCTGCCAAGTCTCTGCATTCGCTGTATGTACTGTGCACCTTTCTTGTATAGTAAGTTGGAGAGTTAGGGCTCAAATATCCTGCACAGTAGCTAGCGACATGTAGATTTGTCGCCTAGGTCAGGTCATCGTCATCAAATTTCCGAGTCTCACAATCCTTCTGAGAATTCCATAGACAGGAAGAAGAAAAGCAGATGCAACAACCCTGTCAATCTGTCTGTCTATCTGTCTGTCATAGAGAAGAATAGACAGATATAAACCTGACTGAGCCTAAGAATGAGTGTGACATATAACATATACCTAGTCAGTCGTTCCTCCCTCGATCAGTCAGACCTAGTGACTGCGATACTTTCAGATGTGTAGAGGGTTATGATCCCCCCCCCCCAAAAATTTCATTCTCGTATAGAAATATATCTTCTCATCGAGAAAAGAAAGGATGGAAAAGATAAAACCGGCAAATCCAATGCTATGTTTGAGATTAAGACGAGAAAAAAAAAGCGTTGCAAATTCAATGATCATTGGACAGAATACAGCAGATAGTCAGTTGGTCAGTTGGTCAGTTATATCTTCAGATGGGAACGAGTTAAATACTCAAGTGTTAGGCACATACATATCACTGAAAGAAAGAAAGAAGAGTCTGATTTGTATGATGTTTGTTCGTTTATAGAAGATTCCATTCCTTTTGCTCTTTTTATCTCTTCTCGGATATATCCCTCACGTAAACCCTGCTGAATAGGAATAGTAATCAATAAATCAATCATTCATGATAGATAGACGAGGGAATCATCAGACAAAAATAGACCCATCTTGTACGTACTGTACGGTACAGTGTACAGACAAGTCTTTCATTCATCCATGTCATGCCATATCATATCAGCCAATACAGCGCATCCAAAAACAGACCTTTGTAGTAATATCCCTATCCTATCCTACCCCAATCTATGTATTTCTATATCATTCTCGGTCTAGGTACTCTACTCCGACCCCGTCAGCTTCGCCTCAATGTTCAGCACGTCCGACTCGCTCTCGATCTCAATCACGCGGTTCACCTCGGCCGTGTTGCGCATCAGCTCGACCGCGCCGGCGTACATCATCCGGGAAGAAGGGTTGCAGTTTTCGGGGAGGTAGTAGAGGAGGACGTAAGGGACAGTGAGACGGCCGGAGGACTGTGCGGATCTATCAGTACTGACTGGCTGAATAGCAAGAAAGAGATTACAGCTGCAGGGTTGACTGTCGACTAGCTTACCAAAGTCAGCGGATAACTCAGCAGGACGAACCGCGGCGACGAGTCCGGCAGCTCGTCGGCCAGATCCTCCAGTTTGGAGTAGACCTCGTCATTCTCGGGGCGGATCTCTTTGGTCTTGGTGTCGATCAGATCTAGAGGATGTGATGGTCATCATAGCGTTATCATGTCTGTTCACTTATCCCCTGCCTTGCCGCATGCAGGTTGAATCTCCTGTCTCGGGGTTTATTTACGAAGGGAAGGTATATGTACAGATGATGGCTTGCGGGTCCTTTGCTCTTGACGTTCCCAGACGAAACTTGCGTAGTTTGTCCTTGGTCTCTTGCGAGAAGGAATATAATCGTGTGTCGGACTGATAATGGATGCTGTTAGTTTGCATTCATTCACTCGTGACTCGACAGGACGCAACACTCACCATCCTGTTCTGTCAAATGTGGGAGATTTCCAAATTTCTGATATGCGCTGAATTCTTGAAACGTGACTGACTGACTGACTGACTGACTGACTGATCACTGATAAAAAACTATGCTAGCCTGACGCTGCGTCATCACGTTTGTCAGCCCCGCAGATCAAATCAAAGATCTGATCAGCTAATCAATCCGCACCCGCATTTCGTCCTCCCCCACTCAACTCTCCTCCCTCTGTCTCTCTCCCCCCTTCCAGTACTCTAGTACGGAGTACTGATTGTACCACGTCCATTCCAAACAGCTTACTCCTCCATGCTCACTCGCCTAAGTCAATTGGCCCGCCATCTCTCTCGTCCATTGCCCAGTTTCGCCCTTCCCTCTGTTGTCTCTGCTGCTGCCACGGCACCGCGTTCGGCTTCGCGACTCTCCGACATGACATCATCCGCGACGGCGCTGGCGAACAGCGCAAAGACGATACACACGGCGGCGTGTCTGATCATTGGAGATGAGGTGCTTGGAGGGAAGGTGTGCAGGCCCTACGCTCAATTGCTTGCGTTCTGACGTCAAGATCAGCCTAATAGGCTAATACTAACGACACATCTAGACAATCGACACCAACTCGGCCTACTTCGCCAAATGGTGCTTCTCGCTGGGCATCCAGCTCAAGCGCGTCGAGGTGATCGCGGACGACGAGGAGGAGATCGCCGAGGCCGTGCGGCGCATGAGCAGCTACTACGACCTGGTCGTGACGAGCGGCGGCATCGGCCCGACGCACGACGACATCACGTACCCGTCGATCGCGAAAGCCTTCGGCCTGAAGCTGAAGCTGCACGAGGCGGCGTTCGAGCGCATGAAGCGCATGTCCAGGCCGCACCCGGGGCACCCCGATTTCGACTGGGACACGCCATCGCCGACGCTGAACGCGCGCCTGCGCATGGTCCAGCTCCCCTACGACGAGAACCTGCCCGAGGAGAAGCAGAGCGTCTTCGTGGCGGATGACTCGTGGGTGCCGATTGCGATCGTCAATGGGAACGTCTACATCCTGCCGGGCGTGCCCCGGCTGTTCGAGAAGCTGCTCGAGGGGCTGAAGCTGGTGCTGCTGCCGCGCCTGGCGGATCCCAAGGGCAACGGCCTCTACCGGATCCTCATCAGCACGCCTCTGCCCGAGAGCGCCGTGGCGCCGTACCTGACGGATCTGGCGCTGCGCGTGCTTCCGCACGGCGTCAAGGTCGGCAGTTACCCGCGCTGGGGGAAGAGGCGCAACACCGTGACGTTGGTCGGGAACAACAGGGAGTACATGGAGTCGCTGGTCCCGGAGGTGGAGAAGAATGTCGCGGGGAGACGAGTGTCGAGGGAGGATGAGCTCGATCCTCCGTCTGACGAGGAGACCAAGCAATAGTTTACATACAGGTTTTTTGACGCCAAACTCGCTACCTGGATGTATATTGTACTATACATGTACGTACCAATGATGGGACGACCTGTTTGTATGTTGATACCTTTGAAACAGTGGATACAGTATGGCATGCGACTAAGTCGTTATAAGCCTAGTTGAAATCCGACAATTACTGCACACGTACAACAGCTCGCTGAAATTATAACCTCGTTTAGATCAGCGTTTAGAATTGCTCAATTCTAAAGCGCATCGGCGCCCACCATAAATCGACTAGAGCACAAGAAACGCATCGAGAACCGGCGAAAGACATCAAGAGCAAACAAGCAATACAGCACCGTGTCTCATTTGTTCCAAAGCCCCCTCCATACACGTTGCCGCTGGCCTCAACAAATGGATTTCCCTAAACTACCCGTATGCATTGCTGGATGATGTCGTGGAATTGCGGAAGGAGCAGAGGAAAAACGTAGAGAAAAATAAAGGAAAAAAAAAGAAAATCGGTCCAGGGGGAATCGAAATAAGTGACAGTAAAGGGGAACGTTAAAAAAAAAGAAAATGTTCAAGGTGATATGCCAATGAAAACGCACCCAAGAAAAAAAAAGTATGAAAGCAAAACTATGTAGGACAGAGGGGAAAAGCAAGAGCCGCAAATAGGGTCGCGCGAATAGGAGCTGTCGGTAAGTACCAGCAGGATGATGCAGATCAATGCGGCGAAAAAAAGCTTTGTCATCCCGGTTTTTTTCAAGGCGAAGGGAATAGTACAAGGGTAATAACTTTGAGACCGATCCGGAGAAACGAAACATAAAGGAAATAAAATCGTGGTTGTGTAAACAGGACGGGCAAGCTATTTATATACGTCCGACCAACGTGTCAACGAAGGGGCCGCCTCGGTCGCGCGTCTCGTGTAGTGTCGGTAGGAATCTGGCGGTTACATGATGATGCACTTGCCGCAGCAGCCAGCACTCTCGCCGGGTTCGTTGACATCGAGCTTGCCCTCGGGGGCACGGCCACCAGGTGCACCCGACCCGGACGGGTAAGAAGACATCTCCTTGTTGTACCTGCGGATCTCGCGGACTAGGTCGTAAAAAGCGTTCTCGACGTTGATGCGCGACTTCGCAGAAGTCTCGATGAATTTGCAGCCAAACTGTCGGGCCAGAGCCTCACCCTCTGTCGGAAGAGACACCGTCAGCACCATGACTCAACTACTAACCGCGTGGCAGTGGAGCGTACCCTCTTGCGAAACCACTCTCTCCTTGTCCAGGTCGCACTTGTTGCCGACGACGATGATGGGGAAGTAGTCCTTGTCCTTCACGCGCAGAATCTGCTGTTGGAAGGTCATGATTTCCTCGAACGACTGGCGCGAGGTGATCGAGTAGACGAGCAGGAAGCCTTCGCCTGTCCGCATGTACTGTTCTCGCATCGCCGAGTACTCCTCCTGGCCGGCGGTATCCAGAACGTCCAACAGAGCGACCTCATCGTCGATGACGCACTGCTTGCGGTACGAGTCTGTTCGAGGGTGAGCTGATGAGCACGACACGACGACCAGCGGTGAGGTTGCCCACCTTCAATTGTTGGATCGTACTCGTCGACGAAATGGCTCTGGATCAATTGAATCGTCAAGCATGATTTCCCGACACCACCTCCACCGACGACCACCAGCTTATATTCTCGCAAGAACTAGAGACGCGAAGAGAGCGTCGAGTCAGCGGTGTCTCCGTAGCGATCGGGGAGCGAGGCCAGGCCGGCGCAGGGGTCGCCGGGCGGGCGGACGGGCAGGGAGCGTACCTTGGAAGCCATTGAGGCGGCACTGAGAGGACCTCAGTCTGGACAAGGCAGAGTTTGTCAGTTGAGAGAGCAGAGGGAGCCAGCAATGCCCGGGATGCAGTGTTTGGCGGTCGAGACTCGAAGAAGCAGCGAGTCTGCAGGTCTGTGGTCGGGGGACCTACCAACGAGGCGGAACACCAGAGCCAGCAGGGCCGTTCCACACAGGGCCGTAGCAGGTAACCTAAGCAGTAAGCGCGCCGAGCTTAGCGAATCCCACCGGCTCAGGGGGACCACACAGTGCGGAGCCAAGCGAGGGGTCTGGCAGTAGTAGTATATGTCGCGATCCCCTTTCTCCTGGCGAGAGAAAAGAAATTGCGATTGCGAGGTGCTGGGGTCTGATGGGCGAAGTGGCCGGGCTGAGGGAGGGGTGCCGACGCGGATCCAGGGGAAGGGGCACGAACGACGATGGGCGTGGGGGGACCAGACAAGCAATGTCTCCGGCGAGACGCGATGGAGGATGGATTGGATGGCTGGGCGGTGGAAGCGTGGGCAGAAGGACTCCAGGAGGCAGGACGCAGGAGCAGGACGCAGTACTCCGTAGGAGGAGAGCAAGTCGACACGCGCGCTGCGGCAGACCAACCAGGGCTAGCACGGCGAGAGTAGTGGCGGTACCTACCCAGGTACGGAGCGGACAAGAAGGCTGCGATTCGGGGCCAGGAATCTGGGAGATCAGGCAATGGGTGGTTTGGGTCTGGTTCGGGTCTGGTTCTGGTTCTGCAGATGCACCTAGTTGCTGCTGGCGCACCCCGTCCACCTTCGCCGTTGGGCGTTGCGGTCCACCCGGCGACGCTCCTGCCCTGATCCGGCCTAGCGCGTCCCCAAGGCCTCTGCCAAGCGTCTCCGGGCTGCTCGCGTTGCCTGGCGCGCCTCTTCCTGGGCAACCCAGATGAAGCAGAAGCACATCAAGGCCGAAGTTAATAACCATATAATAATAAGCTCCAGGTCGCGATTAATATTATTCTGCGGCTAACTACGGAGGAAATGCCTGCTGCTGCCAGCTGTGGCGCTGTGGTTGTATGATGATCGCCAACCAGCCACGGCACAACCGCGGTACGCACGTCGCATCTCCACCACGTGACTCGATGGAAGATGCTCGATTTGCCAGGTTTTCTCTCTGCCGGAACTTCGCTGCTGACTACTACCCCGCAGGACGAGTCTTAGCTGTGGGAGCTGATATAGTAGTTAGTTAGTGGTTGGTTGATTACGAATAATAATAGAAAGAAAATTGATCCCGCAAAATGATCTATAAAAAGCATTACCTAATACTACTACAGCTGCGTACGTCCTTCCACGTCAATATATTTACCCGATCGATCGATCGATTGATTGATAGATCGATAGATAGGTAGATAGGTAAACTAGGTATGTACCATCAGTCAGTCAGTTTTTCCCCATCAGATGTGATTTGTCATTCTATCATATCATACGAAGTACTCCTGCAGAGGACAATACAGTACATATGCTGGGTTCAGGAAAGCAAAGACAGCTGTCAACACTTCCTTTCTTTGTCAGCGATCGATCTATTACTTACTCTGTGGAATAATATTGAGATAATGCCTCTGCCTCATATACTATAACCTATCCACCTTCCTAATCTGTACCCTGTACCTACATCTACATGTGACCACTGACTGATAGGTAGTGATAGTGATAGTGATAGTGACAATATCTACTATCGTTATCACATATAGATAGATAGTAACAAGCAAGGTGCCAGCCATGCAGCCATGTGTGTGTGCCATGCATGTTTCATCAGGGTTCTTGCAAGGTTACGTTACACTAGCAGTCATATGTCAATAAATATGTAATATATTTATATTATACACCCCCTGTTTTTTTTTGGGCTGAAACATGGGCATTTCCTCCCCCTAAAAAAGTATTTTATAGACTGACTGAAGGTCAGGGGGAGGTCTGTTTCAGTCCCTCCCTTGCACCTTCAGTCAGACAGACCAGACATGCCAACATGCCACGAATTGATTGATTTGTAGGGTTCGTAGCTTATCTACATACATACCTAGGTTAGGTAGTTACATATCAGGCCAGAAGTAAGTAATATTCGCCTGAACCAACCAACCAACCAATCAACCAATCAATCAGCCAGTCAATCAACCATAAGTCACGATCCAACCCTCACTCAGTACAGCCTGATACCAATCAATAATATATCCTATCAACCTGCCACTGCGGACCGGGCGGACCGGACCAGTCAAGTCAGCCAACAACAAACGCTTAACTGTTGGAACCCCCTCCCCAGCTAGCTAGAGAAGATCGTATCGTGTTTGGTATTGCCGTTGTTGGTGTTGGTGTTGGTGGTTGTGTGGATTGAGTCTACTTCTGTTTCTGGTGACTGGCTAGATCCCAGCTAGCGCTTTTTAAGCTGATCTGCGTCGACTATATCTATCTACATATCTATCTATCTATCTGGGGAAGCCGTGTTACACTTCATATCTATGCTGTTGGCGGCTGACCAGCAGTCTGTCTCGCTTTACATCACCTATCCTGGTAGGTGGCTTCCTCGTCGCTGTATTTTGCAAAGTTCATCATCTGAATTGGCCTGAGGCCGGTGCGTGTCCGATTATCGCAGCCGTCTGGTTGGTTTTCATTCCGCCGGCCAACTGCCGCCCTGAGCAAGCTCACGCTTTTCATCCACAGTCAGGTCGCTTTTGGCGCGCCCGATCCTGATAAACAGCGCCATGACGGCGCACGCAAAACCCGCGGTTCCGGCTTCGAACCAAAACACCGCCTTGTAACTCTGTCTCAACCCCAGGTGCGCCGTTTCCGCCTGCGTGATGTCTGCAAACCCCAGGAGGACCGCAACCCCAAGGTGCTGCACACTGTTGACCAACCCTCCTGCGATTCCCTTCTGCGCACTCGGTACGCTGGTAGTGATGAAGACGTTGGCCACATTAAACGTGATGTCGATGCCGATCGTGGCGCAGATCATGGCAGGAAACACCCACGCCCAGTACACGCCCCCCTCCGGAATCAGTGCGAATAGCAGTCCCGTTCCAATAAACCCGGCACCGGAAAAAATCAAGAGAATCGTCCCGGGGATCAAATGGAGGACGGCACCCCCGACAGAGGACAGGAGGACACCACCAACGACCATTGGGGTACTCCATGCCACGATCTGGAGAGGGCTGGCTCCCATGAAAGTTGTCATGCTAGATACATGCATTCCGTCAGTCATCCCTGACAGCCGGGTTGGGCAGGGCATGGTCCACTTACTAAAGCACGCCGTAAAGCAGGTAGATCCCTAGCCCCCCGTACACCAGTGACAGCGCAATGACGACTGGCTTCATATACGGCACACGAAACACGTCAGCTGGTAGTATCGGCGCCTTCGCAACCCATCCTTCGACATAGACTGCGGCGGCCAGGATTATAGCCCCCGCGATAAGACAGATGTAAACATACGGGGTCCTCCATCGCTGCGGGGCGTGGGAGCTTTCCGTAATCGCAAAGACGAACAGCACCAATCCCGCCACGGTGAGACATGCCCCCGCCCAGTCCATCTCGTGGTGCTGTTTGCAATGTTCCGCATAGTCGGACGGTACGGATAGAAACGTGGATACCGTCGTGACGGCAGCGAAGATGGTGCCAAAGAAGAAATACCAATGCCAGGAAAGGTACTGGCCGGCGAGGCCTGAGAAAAAGATCCCGGCAAAGAACCCAAGGACCGCGCATGCTCCGTACAAGCCGAATACCAGATTCTTCCTCGGACCAGGCCGATACGTGATCGCCAGGAGCATGACGCCAGATGGAAGCATTGCGGCCAAGCCCAGACCTTGCAATGCCCGGCAAAAGACGAGCATCAGCATGTTTTGGGAAAAACCCGCAATCAAGGACCATATGGTCAGCCAGAGGCCGCCGCAGATGTAGATGACATATCCGCCGACGATGTCTGACAAGCGACCAAACACCATCAGAGTGGAAGCCACAACCAGAGAGAGGGCACTGGTGGGCCACACCATGGAAGCTTCAGGGATATCGAATGCTGCTTTCAGCTCTGGCAAGATCACATTGGATCCCGTCATGAAATATTCCTGGGAGAGGTGATCAACAAGCATGTTCAATCCCCATATACACAGGCCTACCTACCGTTAGAATTTGGGACATCAACACCGAAAAGCAAAAGGCAGACTCGGACCAGATGCTGGAAAAGCATGGCGGACGCTCTCTCCCGAGGCGCTCAATACGGGCCTCGGTCGATTCGTCCAGCTCTACGGAACGGATGCCATTGGCATCGCTGGTCTGGTCTAAGGGCGTCTGCATGCTTCGATTATATCCCCGGAAGACGCGTGATGAAAAAGGATAGTTGTTTGCATGGAGAATCTAGTACAGGCCCGAAACGCGGCAAACGGAGTCGTCGACGATGGGCTCATGTTACAGAAGATGGGATGGTACCAAGGTGACGACCATCGGCATTCATCCAGGCAATGATAATTGAAAAGAAGCAGAAAAGCAACATCTTTGCTTTTTTGGGGGGGATTTTTCCCTGAAATAAAAAAGAGACGATTGCGGTGCTCCATGCAAAAGGTAAAAAAACGAAGTCTGATTCCTCGGTCCGCTCACGTAACGTCATCGGGTCCCGTTCCCACTGGCCCCGCCTCTACTTGGCTGCCTGTTTGGGAATCGCCCCGGCATGACTAATGTTATTTGTTACCTAATTGCATTTGGAGCCCTTCATGGCCTCATTTGGGGTTGACAGGCACACCGTCTTTTCGATTGCGTGAAAAAGTCTATATTATTATTATTATTATTTTCGTGGACTTTTTTTTTTAACCCTGACGCTAAAAGCGGAGAAATTTTTTTCAATTCTTATTCTATTTGTATGGAGTTTTTCAGCCGCCTAGCTGAATCCTGACCCACCTAGGGCTTAGGGCCTAGGGTCAGGGCATGATGCATCTACTCCGTAAGTTCGTAACAACCAATTTCGTGTGGAGAAAGATGGCAACACCCCCATCTTGCCAGTATTATTACTCCGTAAACCCGCATCTTGTTAAGATTTAATACTAGTCCCACTTAGGAGGGGCTTGGGCGCTTCCAGTCTAGATTAGATTCGTCTATGCACATGGAGGGTCAGACTATATAATCTCTTGCGGAGAGGGTCATTCTGAAATAATAAAAAAATGTCAGGAGTGGTATCAAGGTAAGCTGCACTACTATTGTGATATCATATCTACCTGAGTGAGTGAGCCTGGGAACGAAGGATTTACTGCTACTGGGCTGATCGGAGTATTTCCTCTGGACATCGAACATTTATTATATATGCATTTCATCTGCAAGATGAATGAAATCCCGAATAATTTCATCAAGCTTGCAAGATCCTCCGACAGAGACATGTACAAATCAAAGTCCAACAGGCTACGACAGAAGTTTTAGGACCTCACAGCTATCGAGCTAAGAAGAACCCTGAGCAGAAAGGTCCAGAGGAGAAACGCACGTAAAGGCATTCACCTGCGGGATTTCGAACGCGACAATCATCCCCTCGATGGCGGCGTACAATCCCAGGCCGGCGGTGGCTAGGGCTCCAATCGCATACAGGACATGGAGAATGTTCCAGTGCCACGGTCCTTTGATCAGACCTCGGACCCATCGCCGGACTCCGGTGTCCTGGCGCGTCACGGTCCCGGTCGTGGGATCGAATTCGTCGCCAGCGCTCGTCTTCAGCGCGTACAGCTTGATGTTGTAACCCAGGGCGAGGATCGGTGGGAACGAATAGGTGAATTGGATGACGGTCGTGGCCGAGATGACCGACACGAAGCCGAAATAGTCGGGAATCGCGGCCGCGACGACATACGCAATCGACCACCAGAGTGGCACGATGATCGCCCACAGGATTTTGCCTCTCCGGTGCGTCAGAGGCGGCGCTTTCAGAATATCCCTGGAAAGAGTCAGAGAAAAATCCAGAGTGAAAGTGAAAGAGCCATCGCGATGGAAATTGGCAACTCACATGAGCACATTATTGTAGAAAACCTTGATCCCAATATTGCCATACAGCCCTGCTGCGATCAGCCCGCTCACGCATGCGAGCATATCTCCTACGACCTGGAACCCATACAGTGATACGCCCTGATAGGAGATTTGGTAGGCGTATTGGCCTTGGAAGTAGTAAACATAGCAGCCATAAACCAGATAAACCGTGTAGATGAAGAACTGTGCTCCCCACATGGCCTTGATGAAGTCATGCGGCCGTTTCATCTCGGCCATGAATTCGATGAACAGCTGGGCACCACCGTAGGCAAAGACCCCTTGCAAGAGGCCGTTGATCGAGCCGATCAGACTATGCGGATTCGGGTTCCCATTATAGTGGATAATCGCAGGATAGATCCCTGTGCGCGGATCGGGTGTGATGGTTGCTGGATCGACTGCTCCCCCGGCCGAACCAAGCACTGAGATCTCGTAATTCGGCGGACTGTGAGCCATGACGCCCATCGTGATAAAAATCACCAGCAGATTGATCCAGACCGCCGTGTTGGCCAGCCATCCGTAATTTCGGAGGGTCCGCACTTGGCCGATGAAATACCCAACAATCACAAATAGCACACAGCACACAGAATAGCAGAGGCGGAATTTGGACACCTGCGAGATCCCTTGCCCTTCCAGAATGATGACTTGGCCCAGGATCAGGAGCAGCAGGAGTGCCTGCAAGACGTTGACAAAGTGACGCGCGTAAGGGCCATAGATGCGAAAGACCAGGTCGCCGTAGTTGCGGACGGGGAATTCATGCGAATCCAGGCCGAGGAACGCCTTCCACAGCAGATATCCAGAGTAGCCGGCCATGAAGCCGAAGACCGTATAAAGAGCCTAGAATATCGATCGGGTTTAGAGAGCCGCATGACTACTCACAAACACAAAAGAGCGGGACTTACGATACCGGGACCCCAGCCCAAGGTTCCCATGGCAAACCCGACTCCGTACGGCCCCAGGATATCCGTGGTGATCAGATAGAAGCACGCGCCGGCCGTTGCGGTCCTCATCATCCGCGACGCATTGGTCCACTCCTCGTCCGAGATTTCGAGACGATTCGCTGTGGCTTCCTTCGTCTGGTCGCCGGTCGGAGGAGGCGGGGAGTTTTGCGACTCATCCTGGGTCGGTTGGCTGGCACTTCTTCCTCTGAAGAGCGTTTTCCACAAGGTTGTAGTCGGGCCGTCTGATGCGGCAGCCGCCTTTTCCTCCTCGCGTGTCTTCAGCGCATAGTAATGGTACTCTTCGAACGTCACGTCTGGATCGTGGAGACGTCGATGCTGCGGTTTGATGACTGCGCGTGGCGGGGAAGCATCCCCACGGGGTTGCTCTTCCGGATCCATCGCCGACCTCAGTTAGTTGGAAGCTGTTAATACAAATCAACAATGACAATGCGACTCGAAACGTCAACGGGGTTCACAAAGCATCGCGATAGCAGGGCCTCTGATTGCCCTGAACTTCAGCTGACAAGGGCCAGCTAGATAAAGGGGCCCGAGAGCTTATCTGCTGATCTAGAACGACCTTCCGTATCGGGAAAAGATTCCTTCTTCGGCTATACTATCGCCCAGACAAATGCTTTAACTTTCTGGCCGGAACTTTGAATCGCGTTCCGTGTGAGAATAGACCGATAGAGGTAGAAAACTCCGTATGTAGATAGCCTCACTGCTGACCTTGAAGCAGCATAATGAAAGTTTTGCTGAGTACCTTCCAAGCTTGCGAGTCGCTAGTATTGGCCGCTAGAAGAACCGTGTCTATGGAAATCAACGAGCCTGTGGGACTGAATTGAACAGCAACAAAGTTGTTACTTCGATGTGGTATTTTGTATGGATATCTATCTATGTTCTGTAAAGTGATTGAATGTACGATCACATGGAAATGTACGAGAGTATCCACATTCGTCTGCCTCGTAAGTCACGAAACAAACTAATGAACCTGACCGAGGCGCAACATCCCCAATCTTGTCAATGTACAACAACGATGACGTAGGACGTTCGGCTTAAAGCGTTCGGCTTAGAGCTTACGGTGCAGGTGGGTAGGCGATCCCTAGACACGATCTCAGTCAGTCATCTGATAGCACAGTCAAGACCTGAATCATATGTCGATAAATTTACTTACCTGGTGACTAGGGAAGATCAGGGTATCGGCAATGACAACGTTCTCCCTGCGGCTCGCAGCGAAGACAATGACTTCGGCAATGTCGTCAGGGGTAAGAGGCTCGCAGCCACTAGACAGAATGTCAGTACATGTTCTAGGGTTTAGAGTCCATCGTAGGGAGCATACGCGTAAACAGCATCAGCTTTCGCCTTATCCCCGTAGTAACGAACGATAGAGAATTCCTGTATGAAATGTCAGCCAGGCGGGTCAGGAATCACACCAGCAGGAGAACCGTACAGTTTCGACCTGACCGGGATCGATCTCGATAACACGGATGCGGGTCGAGATGAGCTCCTTTCTCAAGGCATCGGTGAAGCTGCGGACGAAAGCCTTCGTGGCGCAGTAAATGCTGCCACCTGGGTAGGCCTCACGTCCCGCAATGCTACCAACGTTGATAATGTCACCGCGACCGCCCTCATCACGCTTCTTGAAGATCGGAAGGATGGCCTGGGTCATGTTGATCAAGCCAGTGACATTGGTGGAGATCATCACGTTGATGTCGTCGGGGTTGATGTCTGGGGCCTGCGCGACACCCTTGACCAGACCACTGCTTGTCATCAGCAAGGTTCACAAGAATGGAACATTATCATAACAAGGTTGAGACTCACGCATTGTTCACAAGCACATGGATGTCCTGGAATTCAGCCGGCAGAGAGGGCACAAAGTTCTTCACCTCCTCCGGGTTGGACACGTCCAGTTTCACTGGCAGCACCTTGACACCATCTCCAACTTCCTCCTTGATCTCCTTGGCAAGCTGTTCAAGCCTGTCCACGCGTCTAGCTGTGACGATCAGCTTGAGGTTCTTGGGGGAGCTACGCGCGAACTCCTTGGCGGTGCTGTAGCCAATTCCAGAGGAGGCACCGGTGATCACGATAGTTTTGCCTTCCAGGCGTTTAGCCACTGCAGAAGCCATGGCGCGTCTGAGAACAGCGTGCTGCACGGACGGTTCAAGGGCACTGCGATAAGCAAATGCGGAGTGGAATGCGGGGAAGCTTTTGCTTGTGCTGGCTCGACTCAGATGTCTAATTGACCTAGCAGCAGCACGAAGAGGATACATGAAGATGTCCAGGACGTATCCTGTATGGTCTATTTATGTTAAAGAAGGAAGAGAACGCGAGATGATGCAATTAAACAAGGAGGGGAAACATCGTGCGGGGATAACGTTCAGCCGGGGCTCCGACCCGATCTCCGCGATGGTGGGGCTGTCGGAAACATGCCCGAGGAATGCAAGTATGTACCTAGTTACTGATTTCAACTGCAAGTGGATGAGAAATTAGATGCTAATATCGAGGGAAATATCCAGAGTGAATATCCCATTACAACTCTCCACCAATGGTTACGAAAACGCTGTGAAGATCTTTGTTGGGAGATTCAAAGATTGCCTGCAGAAGTTGAGCGAATCTAGATTATCTGGGAGAAAGGATCAAAAGAAGCGCTCTTAGCCTTTGGTACTCCATTTCGAGTAAGATACCCTGGTTAGCCGACCACCTATCCAAGAGATTGGATATGGATGTCCTGCTTTTTTTTCCTACTGTTCCATACTGGTTAGGTTGATCACTGCTGTACTGTACTCATGGCAAGGAGAACTCGAACCACAATGTAATAATACCCTACACATGGATGTAGATAAGAGGAAGGATATGGCCTTTTTCATGCACTAAGAGGCTTTTTTCCAATTTTCGTCCCCCCAGACATACCGTCCACGTGCAATGCAGTCATCACAGGGATACAGCTTCGTCTTCTGCCCCAGCCATATCTGCTCGGCAGACTCGCAACAACTTTTGCCTGCAGCCTTGGCCTCATCGCACTGGTAGTGTGTGCTCGGCCAGTCAAGTATGTGACCGCATAGCAGTCTGACTCTCCCTATGAGTTGTCGGCACATGCCGTCTCGGCTTGATCTCGATGATTGATTGATTGATTGCCACTGTGAAACGATATTCAATGCAAGGAAATCGTGAAATTTTATCATGCGGAGTGCGTACTGCGTACAGCTTGGTATACCTGCAGAGTCAAGTTGAGTCGAGTCGACCTGTCGAGGCGATCGGTCAGATAGATCCCACATTGAACGATATTGAAACGAACTGACATCTAGTAGTATGTCCACGCTAAGCAAGTAAGATCTTGAGAAGAGACGCAAAAGATAGCAGAAGAATGCAGAAATCGACTGCCTGACGAGGAATGGATCCTTTCGATGCTCTTCACTCGAAACGACAATCAGATAGATGTTCTTACAACAAAACGAAATGAGGAACGAGCGAATAAATGCAGGTGTTACCTAGACGACTAACTACACAAAGAAGGCCTGCATTCAGTATGCGATATCCTTCTTTTATCACTGACCAGATCAACACTTTCCTGCATAGGTAATGCTCTCTCATATCAGTACCATATGTGAATGAAAATGTCTCTTCTAATTTTGGCCTGTATGTAATAAGTGAATGGACAAATGAACAGACGAAGGCACATGATCAGGAAGTGTCCAGGTAGTCCCTTCCCTGATGAACTTTTTTTTCTAACAATTATTTTATAAATTGCTGTTGGCCTTTCTGTCCCATGCTGCCATTGCTCTTATATAGATAAATCGTGATTCCCCTTAAAATACCTTACTATATACCTATAGATATTACTTTCTCATGATTAAAAGTTTTCTTAACCATTGCCCTGATTTTCTTGTTGAATTCATCACTCAACCTGCATGAGGACAACACAATCAAGGTCACAATCCAAGCCCTATAAAGAATAAAAATATAGACCTTCTCAGTCTGTGTGGTTGAAGTCAGATATGATCTGAAACTTCCAACAGGCACTAAGCATCACGCGGTAAGTGCTCCTGCTGGGTATCTCCTCCCTTATATATATAGAAAAAATCACATGATTGCTCTGCAGCACAGTCGCTTCCATATACGGGGTATGTGGTCCACGCAGGCAGAATCCCCTTCGCTCGAGTTCTCCGAGTTCTGTCGCTCCAGAGTCAGCGCCCACCAGTACACGCCAGCATAAATCGGTTTTTGACAGAGGACGCCTTTCTTTATCACTGGCGTCAAATCTCTGCAAATTGCTTTTGATGATTCGCCAACAGCCCCATATTACTGCTCATTGCTGAGCGTAGGGTCCGCAGGTGTGCCTGTCTTCAATGAATATCTCCTCAGATCAAAGAGACTTGCTGCTGATATTGTCGGAATAGACACCCTCAACTCCGGCCCCAAATCCGCCTAATCCGGCTCAGAATACTGGAATTCCTCTTGCCAATCTGGGAGTGGGTGGGTGGTGAGTAACTTTGTATATCTATCCCAACCGTGCCTGGGATGGAGCACACTGACTAACAGTTCTGATTTGTGATGATGTCTTTCAATAGGGAAGAATTCCGCTCTTACATACGGCATATTCCTATCTGCTGTTGTACTTACGCTACCCTCTTTCACAACATGGCATGTTGGACGCTTCATTCCGTCCATTTTACTCATATGGATGGGATATACATCTCTTGTTTTATTAATGATGGTATCTTCCGTAATTTTGATACCAATAAAAACTATTGTGAGTTCTGCTATTTCTTTTTTGTAGATTCTTCCTCATCCTGATCTACTACTGTCCACACAAAGCTTGTTGTCAACAAACAACCTCTCACTCCATTCACCAAAACATTCTCACTCAGCACTCAACACTCAGCGAGACCTTGCGAAAATCTCTGTCATTCCACTACGTCTTTACTCTGTTGATTCTCGAACCCAGTTCATCAGTCATCATGCCTGTCAAAGTATATTCTGATACAGAGATTGCAGAACTTCTCAAGCCACAGAGCTTCGACTGGGCCGATGACAAGGAGGAATTGGAAGAATACCCTTCCTGCGACACATCTGGCCCCAATTACCAAGAGCCAGATGGAGAGTGTGTTCCCGCAAAGGTCGTCGATGAACCTTCGATGGTCAGTTCCTTCGACTCCATGCCAGAGAGGCCCTTTTCTCCAGAGCCAATGGAGCGAAGCAATCTAGCCTCGTCTCCAGCCGTGTACCAAGATGAGGCGTCCAGCTGGCTCCAAGTTTCAGTGAACAAAGTCGACGCCCAGCTGGTCAGCTCTCTTAAATACCAGGCCAGAGAGGAGATACCTAAGGAAGACGACTATCAGCTTCTCCAAGGTGAGGCTGCAGTGGAGTGGGAATTCTGTCACCGAAATGACATCATATTAGACGATTGTGATGAGGAGCAAGATCCCATCCATCATTTCAACTGGCATGGCCATGCAGTCCGCGAATATAGCGGGACCCCAGCAGCCCATTCGCTCTTATATATCCTATCCCGCCCGAAAACACCGGCCCCAAGAGACGAGAATCGAATCCAGTCGATTCTCAATCGGGCAACCAAATTTGTGGACCCGGTGATATACGAGGGAGACTTCGCTGAGCTCCAACGAAGCGGACAAGATCTCGTGAATGCTGTGACAGGGCAGGTGTACAAGTTTTACAGCCCACACGGATGCTGGCATAATGATCGACGAGACAGGGAAGAAGGCACCATCCAAGACAACGGAGTCATGAACATATACAAATGTCCTGAGTGGCTGGTGGCCAACGGGTTCTATGATCACCCGCTGGTCCCAACTCGAGAGCAGATGCATAGCAACTGGGAGAATTTGCGGGATTCGTCCTCTCCTTGTGCCGGCTCCGATTGTTGGAAAGTCCGAGAGAAGAGATCTCGACCATATATCCGATCTCCCTTGCGGCTTGCGACTGCAGTGGACACTGATGATTGCAGCGATATGAACCAGAACAAAGTACATCGGATGCGCGGCAAGTATCAGTGGTGGGAGGCATCGAGGTCTATAGAGTGCTTTGTGAAAGAAGTCCTCTTACCTATACCCGAGGAAGAGACCGAATCTTCTGATGATATGGCGAGCAGTCAAAGTTTGTTTTCATCGACTGATGCCAGCCTGTTGACAGATTCTGAGAGTTCCGTGATGGAATTGCGTGAATGGATGTTGTTAGATCAGAATGACTCCTTTGATACCAAGCCATGTGATCGTCGTGCCAACAATGCGAACAGGGCCTCAAAAGGTACTGTTTACAAACATGGCAAGGCATCTGCATGGAGACGTGTTCCACACAAGATCTTGAGTGCCCGACAGACACGCCTCTATTCTATTGCAGTGAGAAGTCTCGAAAACACTAGAGCAGATAGCCTGGAACGAGCAGAAGGGAGCAGGCTATCGGAGCAACCAACCAACCAGCACAACATGATGAGTGAGAGCCAGGATGATGAGAACACTAGCAAGAATGGACAAGAGCACTCTGCAGATGAGGATGTGCCTGAGGTAAGATTGTTTCTTCGCAATGTTGTTCCAAGTCTTTCTTTATTCTCCATCAAAACTGTAGTGGACATGACACTCACAACACTTCAGAGGCAGGGCACATCTCACACAGTCTCCAATCCACTAGCCCTGAACCTGCCTGTTCATGATGCGGAACCGACTAAACACAAGAATCCTTTGACACGTATCAAGTCGTCAAAATTATCCCCAAAACGGCTCCGTAGGCAACGGGCGAAAGTAAGGGGACGATTCTCCTCTCGAAACTCCAGTGAGGAGACACTGACCTACTTCTCGTTTCCCAAACCCGTTTTCAGCAAGGATCTGAAAGGATATAAGAAATGGCTGAGCGGAAAGGTCTGGCGAGATATCGCCTACAAACTCTTGGACAGCAGTTATGTTGATGAGGAAGGAGACTTGAGCCCGCCCGTCCTGTGTGTTGCTGCCGTGTCACGGGAGCAAATGCCGTCACCACCACCAACGCAAGCAGAGCAAAAGCCTCGAAAGAATTGGATGCGAAAGGTGGCGAAGAATTTCATTGACGGATTCAGTCTCATGGGTGATTACCCAGCGAGGTATATGTGAAGCTGTTACAACTGGCTGGAGAGCATCTTGTCAAATCATTCAAAGGGTTTGCAACAGGTGGAGTTGGACCTGACTGAAGTGCATTACATTGGGGAGTGATGTTGGACTGTGTTTGATGCATGACGAGTTTGAGGCAACCTTGGGGAATCTTCTTCAAGGCGACATTATTATAGGGGAGACAAAGGGTGGAGGGGTGAAGAGGGAAAACAAAGACGAAGAGAGAGGAAGACAAAGAGGGGAACAAGGAGGACGATCCTCGACAGACTGGGGCTGTTCTACAGAAGAATGGCCATGAGCTTTCGCTGCTACCTGCCTAGGACGGATGGTGCCTGCCCGATTTTTGCTCCTTCCTCAGCTTCCTGTGATGCAAGCTCACGTGCGGGACTCGTCCGAGAAGCTTGCCGGGCCACCTGGACGTCTTTCCTCTTTTAGCGTAGCGCCAGGTACCGTCGGGTAGGGACCGGATGACAGCGGACCGAGAGCCAATCATCGTTGGGCACCAAACTTCGGGCTTGGCGATCTCGACATGGCGAAAGTTTGATGCTGAGAGCGAACGCAACTTTCGGAGTATGGAGTGCCAATAGTCGAATGCTCCTTTGAGATTTGGATTGACAGACCGAGAATCCGAACTTCAGATTTCTGTCGTCTTCTCTAGTCTATAGTCATGACTCTCTACAAATTCTACAGGACAGATGAAGTGCCATCATCAAGGGAGACCCGTTTCAATAGTCACATACAGATCTGTATCGAGTACTGCTGAACGTGACGTTGGTGGCTGCATATGAAGAAGCGGAGCAGTTCCACGTGTGTTTTTTCACGGCAAATCGCCCAGACCAATTATTATTCCCTACCGATAAAACGAATCACTCCATCCTTCCGATAAGATCCTGTATCTATTCCCTGTTCAAAACACATGCATAAGGCTGGAGGGCGTGGCGTACTTTTAAGGGGGTGATGTGCAATCGATTCTGATCGTCTGGAGACGACGTCATGCACATTTGTCTGTGCGAGGACAAGCAGGCATCTCTAGGACCGATTCGTACGAAAGTATGGAGTATCTATCACAGTCTCGTCAATCCTCAATACGTGGGGCCATCTCATGGCACAGTCAGCACCTCGCCCAAAAAGCTGGATATATGGGCAAAATAGAGTTGTATCCAGCGTCGAAGGATAGAAAAGCGGAGTATGAGATGCCACGCAATGTCCAGGTTGAATGGACTGAGTAGGGGATAGTAATGCGCTCTACGGAGTAATAGTCTCAGGGCCTGCGTGGAAAATGACTTTCTTAGCGTCACGTCAAACAGGAGGTTATACTCCGTACGGAGAAAACAATGCACAGATCCACCCAAACCGGAGACACTGGACGATCGGGCTTCGGCGCAAAATGAGACTCTTTGATGGTATTCGTCGCGAGTAGGGTGTGCCCGGCAATCGACACGAGATATTGCCGATGCGTGCCCCTCCGGAGGCATTCGGATCATCCACTGATCGACTAATGGAACAGGCACGCGGGCGTGATCATTGGCGATCCCATGCCACGAGGACACATCCAGGACGTGTATGACGTACTTTGCATCCTGACCCCATCCAAAGGCACCTCCCATTCGTCTGTCCATGCTCGCTTCGCCAGAAAGCAGTGGAATTGCTGTCCGTGGCCAAGATGCCTCCTGTCCTTGGTCCAATCACAATCGAAGCAGCCATACGGCAGTCCAGCGTACAGCTGTACCGACCTCATGTGGATCCCTCGATGGAATTATTGTTATTGACATGCATTGCAGATCAGGGACGGGCAGCCATGAGCAACTCAACTCTATTCGCGCACATCGCCATGTGAACCCTCAAAACTCCGCCCATCCGCCTCTTTCCCATGGTACCGAGCAACTCTGCTGTCAAGGCAAACGGCTGTCAATGCTGTCATGTTCCTGACAGCCGTTGACGTCTCTGGACCCAGCGGCAATTGGATATGACACTCATCCGGACTTTGCTCGTATCAAAGAAGTCAGAGGACACCAAATAGGTCTTGCAACTGTAAGCCTTCCCAGATCACATAGTACGCGATTTCCTCGGCTGAATTCCGGCACCGATCAGATAACATGATAGGGATAGGCTGCGGTGGTGGTGGAGAAGGCAAGGCTAGCGGAATTTTGCCTCGATAGAGAAATCGTTCAGTCTTCGGCAGGCCAGGTGGCGATAATCCGATCTGGCGAAGAAAAAAAAAATAAGAATTGTCAACCGATTGCCTTTCTCAGACGCCAGCATTGTAGAAATCACATGTATTGGCTAAGCTTTGCAATAGAATGTAGTCGGGTATAATTCTCGGAACTCCAATTGGCACAGGTGATCTTTTTCTCTAGGAGATAGATCATGTGCTGGGTCGCAAGCACCATGCCCGCTGCCTTGATCGAGAATTCAGATCGACGATCTGCCCCTCTTCTGCAGCCACTATTGAAAACTACCAAACTTTCGTCATATGTCCTTTCTCCAAGCGATGACCCCACAGTCCCCTCACGCAAATATTTGGCAGCAGGATGTCGCGGCTTGAAGCCTTCTGGAGATAAGATTCATACAGGAGCCGCAAACTCCTCCAGGATGGATGCAGATTGAGTCTCTACTTCTTATTTTTACTGCCGCTCTCTCCGGAAATCATACAACCCCCCCTTCTTCCCGGCCTTTTCCCACGAAGTCAATTGGAAAGAGGTGAATCACGGGTTTCAAAGAGATTGCGTGTCACAAGAGCATTCTGAAGACACGACTATGGGTGTTCTACAAGAGAGGGCTCTGCCCCGAAGTGCTGGGACGCCACAATCTCGAGGCAACCTAGCCTTGGTCATCACGGTGGTCCTGACATCTCTTGCAATTTTCGTTGTCGCCGTGCGGATGTTTACGCGAATCGGACTGGTCAAGCTGTTCGGTCGAGAAGATGGGATGATTATGCTGTCCTTGGTATGTCTGGCGTCCTGGGTTAACTACCGACAAAAAAACTGACGGTCATTAGACATTTTCGATTGTGTACATGGCATTGGTTATAAGCCGTAAGTCCCGCAATCCGTGGTTTTGCCACCGTTGAAGCGCTTTCCCTTACCGATATCCTTTCTAACACGGAGTATAGAGGTGCATTTTGGGATGGGTGAACACGTATATGATCTTCCGCCGGATGTGCTCAAGGCACAGCTGATGGTGGGTGACGCTTCCTTCCGTTCGATGCTGTTCGATAAGCTGATGAGACGATCTCTCCAGCGGCTCTGGCTTGCTATCCCGATGTACAACTGCAGCCTTTGGTGCACCAAGTATTCCATCCTCTTTCAGTACCTGCGCATCTTTCCCGGTCGACCTATTCGCATTACCTGTTATACAATTATGGGCATTGTCACTATCTATTCCTCCTGGGCTGTCGTGAGCGGTTATTTGAACTGTATTCCAGTGGCCAAGTTTTGGGATCGTTCGATTCCCGGAAATTGTCTGAGCTTCGAAGCGCTTTGGTTTTTCAACGCCGCCATGAACCTCATTACGGATATTGCTCTCTTGATTTTACCTATGCCGGTGCTCAATGCTCTCCAACTCCCACGCAAACAGAGGCTAGCTCTCATGGCAGTGTTTGCCATTGGTGGAGTGTAAGAGAAAAAAAAAGCTCGTATCTGGTCTGTTTGCGCTGTCATGGCTGACATATCTGTACAAAGGGTTTGCATCACCAGCATGCTCCGTCTCAAGGCCTTGAAGGAAATCGCAGTCAGCACGGATGAGTCTTGTGAGTCTGACTGAGTCTACCAAATTGATAATCGACACTAACAGATCAACCAGGGGACAATGTTGACGCCGCTTTCTGGACAGCTGCCGAGTGCAACGTCGCCATCATCTGCGCTTCCTTACCGTATCTGCGTCCGCTCATCGTCCGCATCTTCCCTCGCTTTGCCTCGAACCTCAGCTATCCACAGAAGTCGGATGTCCAGGTCACAAGTCATCGAAAAAGCAGGGCCACACTCCTCACCAACCCCATTCGGGGCGACTACGACATGTACGGGTTCAACGACCGAACGGATGGCGCCCTCAGTCGCGGGACTTTGGGCGGCATTCAAGTCACGACCGAATTGTTCCAGGAGACGACGAAAGGAGGGGAGTCGGTGGAATCCATCAGCGAGCGAAGACTAGTAGCGGATGCTTGACATTTACCATTCTCTTTCTATCTCCTTTCTTATATATAATGTCCTATACTTTCTCTTCTTTTCCCTTGTCTTTTTCTACACTTTTGGCTTTTACCCCTCTTGGACATGGCAATTTCTCGATCTCACGACTTTATTAGGGCTGGTCAAATGATTTGGGTATGGGCGGCTGTCTGCGCATTGATATACCACTATTCGGTTTAATATCACAGATCTGTGACGTCTCGTCTGGATATGCTTTTTACAATTTCTTCCTTGCCTCTTTCTTTGCCCTTTCTCCCCTTTCATGTTCTATATTTGCTGTTTTTGATTTTCCTACTTTCTCACCCTCTCTATTTTTCTCTATGTTATACATATTCTAATTACCTGATGAGACCATGTACAATAGTATTGCCAGATGAGAATTGGATGGCCATCTCTGCAATGCATTCGGATCAAGATCTAGATCATATCTCTATCGATATCGGAGTAAACACGATTACGTAATTAGGGTGCGAAGCCCTGGTTGCGGAACTGCGGAACCGAATGCGGCCAATTAAATCCCCGAGTCGCCGACCGTCACCGCATGCGTACCCGAGGAAACGCCAAGCCACGCCAACGTGCGCAATCCAACAATCCAGCCCAGCCTCCTGACCAAAGCTCACCTCTGTGACCCGACGTAGTTACTGCGCAACTTCATACCTATTCATCCTCTACCGACTGTTCATTGACGATTGGCAGACGGTCTGTCGGCCTGAAACCTCGTTCCACGGAGTCAATTCTTGACACTGCTTTCCACGTGCGCGTCAAGTCCTGGTCCGTACCAGATACCGCGAATTCGAGCTAGGCACCGGCATTTCTCTAGCTCAATATCCTTATTCTCGGCTACGTCTGCCATCGTTCCTTGACAACGAAGACTACGATATCGCCCATCTCCGTCGCATAGGGTTTTGAGGGCTCGTCAGGTCAATTGCTTCCGAACAAGAGTATTCCCCGAAGTTGGAACAAAGGGAGTAGCTACGCCAAGTTGCGAATTGAACGACCCACAAAAAGCAGCATAGTCAGACAGCGAGTTATAAAATTACAGCAAGATGGACTACTCCAATATCTTGTATGTGTTCCCTGTACGGTCTTGAAGTGTTGATGTTTTTGCGATTACCTCGGCACCGGCATTAAGCCCGGTTTTGTGCGATCGAGCTTTTAAGCGTGTGCATTGCTTTAATGCTTGGTAGTCCGTCCATACTGGCAAACACCATGACTGACTGCGTTTGGATAGCCGTCTCGTTAACATCGCCGTCGGCGTGATTATGATCCTGGGCGGTATTAGCCAGTTCTTTCCTCCTTCCGTGGGCTCAATTATCATCGGCGCATACGTCATCCTGTTTGGTCTTAGTACGTTTCCCATCTGTGGTCGATGTTAGCCTGTCCCGAACAGTTCTAACAATTTTTCAGTCGTTGCCGGCCTGGAATTCCTTCCTCAGGTTCCTGACTATGTGTACCGATACGCCTCTTTCCTCTTTTCGTTCCTCGGACGAGGTGCTTGTAAGTGATCCACTGGCTGTGAAATTGTGCATAACCGTCGTACTGACACCTTCGCCAGTCTACATCTTCGCAGGTTCGATCCTGTTGCACGACGGCGTCCTGCGCTATATTGCCGGCTCGATTATCGGCTTCATTGGTCTTGGATACGTGGTTCTGGAATACATCCCATCGATTGAGCCGCCGTCGAACATGCGGGAGGCCGACAACAGCTGGGGTGCCGAGCAGGTTTAGACCTGTCCGGGAGGTCGACTCCCTGAGAAGAGGCATGTCCATACTTTCTTCGTCCGTGGGTGGCTCTTGAGCGACATGTGATGCACCGGTCACACCTCACCTGTGCACCATCTATTACCTCGTAGTTTTCTTTTTTGGAGGTATGTGTTGCTGGTTATAGAGGGCTAGGAAGAAAGTATGTGGTGGACCTAGACATAGCTGGGTATGGGACATCCACGAGCGTGTGGATTTGACGACTTTTGACTGCATCTTACGTGATTTGGCGATTGCTTTAATTGAGAAACCCTTTTTCTGTTCGCATATTGTCTTTCATATGGAAGCTGGTCTGTTGGATCGATGTATGTACTATATGTGGATACGAGAGAGATACGGAGTGGTACCGTTTAGCCGGTGGATGCTTATCTGATATTGATAATGAGATTACTATAATTGGTAACCATCATTGTCTTGTTTTCATAATTTTTCCCGACTTCCTTTTTTTTTCCCTTCTGATTCCATTGGGCCAGCTTCAGCTTCCCATTAATCCAAAAAAAGAAAGTTTCACCATTACGTACGCAGGCCCATTCACTTTGTGTTCCTGCCGAGGTAGGAAGAAATAATGATCAACAAGCATTCTGACTCTATCCACTAATATTAGTGACGGAGTATCTCCCCTTTTTGCTTCCCCCCTGCCTTCCTGACACAAAAGCACTAAAATGATCTTCCCTACTAGCTTGCTTCAGATCAGCCTGTCCTGAACCCTGACTGACAGACTGAAAGAAGGGAAGGAACCCTTGCTTTGATTTGAAACTGCATCGCCACAGGGGTTTCACTTTGTAGCTTACTAGATGCATGAACGATATAGCTGACACGCAGACAGATACGGAGTATCAATTCCAATTCCAACAACTCGACTTTCCCGAGGAGTCCAGTCCAAGGTCAACTGCAACTAAAAATAGGTCGTGATCTCGAGTACCCGTACGGAGTATGGAGGACTAACTCCGTAGTATGGAATTTACAATATTCCTTCCTGTTTAAGTTTAGCTTAAACAGGATAATAATAAAGATAATTAAAAAGATGTGTAATAATACTCCGTATAATCAAGAGTTGCTAGAATAAATCTTAATTCTTGTTCGACCTATCATTTGCTTCGTAATTATTGGTGGGCTGCAGCGGGATGTCTTCCGATTTCCTGATGAAACCAACATCTCAACTAAATAAATACGAGGCCCTGGATACGGAGTGTTGAACACACAGACAAGATACAACGGATTTTTACTGCTAGATCGTAATCGACGCGTAATTCCTGCTCCATGCGATCGACATTTAGTCTGATTTCTGGCAGTTGCCTGTCTCAAGCCGATGCGTCCCGCCCGAAAGAAAGAACAAGAGAGGAAGTCCAGTCCAGTCCGTTCGGATGGACGTTGAGAAAAGGGCCTGAGCGTCTGGCCAATCAGCACGTGCGTAATTCTGCTGACTGGAGGGCAATTGCTGGCCCGGCCAATCGGCACAGCGCGAGCGGGGCAGCTGCCCGGAACGGACGGCGCTAGAGCCGAGTCCGGCAAAGCGCGCGTTGCGGATAGGCCAGCGTTAGTCCCGAACGGGAATCCGGGGAGCAGAGAGCTCTGGCCTACCGGCGTGTGTGGATTAGCAAGCAGGCGCCCTTCAACGCCGCGATGGCAGGCAACGAGACACCACCGTCCCGTCCAAGCTTTCTTCGGTAGGGGCGCCCGATCTCGTGGAGTGGTTCCCAGGGTCCTGTCTGATGCCCGCGCGATTCGTCATCCTCGCCTGCCCGCGGCTTTTCCAGCGCAAAATCCCGAGCAGTCTCGGCCCTAAGAGCTCGCGGCAGGCAAAGACGCCCGGAATGGGAGGGTGCGTAGACTCGTGGCGATGCGTGGATTCCCCGTCAGCCTTGGGGCCTGTCATCCAGATCGATAACGGTAGATTTTTTAACCCAGCGCTGCTGAGAGTTCCTGGCGCCGCGTAGATATAATCTCCGTATCGTCTTGTCTCCCGTAGATAATCAAGATCAAGATCAAGCCCATCTTGCGTGATCGTAGGTTTGCCAATCGTCCTCCGCCCCGGCATCCCATTCCTTGTCCATCCACCTCCGCCGCTCTCTTTCTCTTTCCACCCAACCAACCCGCTCCTTCATTTTATCCGTCGCCCCTCGATCACGACGCCTTTTCTTCGGCTCTCACTTCCCGGTCGACTGCACGATCTGATTCTTCAGCAGCAGTAAATCTCGACACCTCCCTACTGGACCGGGCAGCCACCACCGGCCTCTGCTGTCCTACCTTCTTCCAACCTACCGGCACGGTGGCTCCTGCGCACGCCACAAACCGCACCGCCTATCAAATCCATCTTGAAGCGGGTTTTTCTGTCTTCTATCCCCCGCACTGAGCCATTACTTGGTCATCGCCTTTTATCCTCTAAGTTAACGGACTTCCTTGCTGTGTTCCCTGTTGTCTTCGCCCCACCGCTTGCGGTGAGCTGGGAGCTGGACTGCATCCTTGGCAGAGTCACGTTGGCGGATTCGACTTTTCTGGACGTTGTGGTGGCGACTTGCTGTCTTTCTTGAGCCACGGCTTGGATCTGCGGATTCCGTTTCGAGTTGTCCGGCAGTTTCGACGTCTTGCGACTGATCACCTTTCTGTTCTGGACTTCCCCGGATTTTCCTGGTCTGCTGTATATCGCCGGTCAACGAGAGTATACAGCGCCAGCGTCAACTCCAACTGCGGCGTTGGCTTCTGCGCCGGCAGATGGAAACCTTGAATCCCCCTGGACGCCAAGCGAACGACCTGATCCGCCATCCTTCGGCTGAGGACTTGGACGCGGCGCAGCAGCTCATCTCGTCGGCTCGCGGCGCGCGGGAACTTTCAAGTGATTTCAAGCTGGACAGCACAGGTGCCAACCGGGATGACGGCTGGCAAGCTGTCAACAACAACAAGAATACCCCGGGTGACGAAATGGACGTGAAGGCAGACGCACCTGCTCCGAAGAACGCACCGGACTCTGCTGCGAACAATACAGCAGGGCCGAAGCGATCGCCTAAACCTCCAGGCAAGGATACATCCTTTCCGGGTCACCAGTGCAGGTATGCTACACTTGATACTATAGAGCATAAAAAGCGCGGTGTGAATCCATGCTAATATGTCGTCAGTAACTGCGGAACCAAGAGCACGCCGTTATGGCGGAGGTCGCCCACAGGGCAGATGATCTGCAACGCCTGCGGTCTCTATCTGAAGGCTAGGAATGTCCAGAGGCCTACGAAGCGCAACCGCACGCAGCCGCAGTCGGGAGCAGCCCAGGCCGGCCAGCAAGGCCAGAAAAGTACATCGCCCGAGTCGCCAGCATCGGGGAATGGTGCTGCTCTTGGGTCGTGTCCTGGTGGCGGCAACTGCAATGGCACTGGTGGTGCGGAAGGATGTGATGGATGTCCGGCCTTCAACAACCGCGTATACAAGTCAGCTGCGCGAGCCGCAGCGGCAAGTCAATCTCAAGGAGAGAAGGGCTCCCAAGAAGGGGATGGTTCGGGTGCGTCTGGTCAAGATGGTGGTGGTCTTCTTGTGTCATGCCAAAATTGCGGCACGACGGTGACGCCGCTTTGGCGACGAGACGAGAACGGACATCCCATTTGCAATGCTTGTGGTGAGTATATAGTGTTGCTGTGTGTGGGAAGTTTACAAAACTGACATGTCAAAGGTCTATACTACAAGCTGCACGGCTGCTACCGACCGACGACGATGAAGAAGTCGATCATCAAGCGACGAAAGCGCGTGGTCCCCGCGCTGCGAGATCCGTCTCCCGGGGCAGCTACACAGTCGTCTACGGGCTCATCGGCGTCGCCTGAGGTGCCGCCGGCCGGGCTGGCACAAGCGTCCGATGAATCACGGCAGTATCAGGGCGGCGAGTACACGAATGATGCAAGAGGGCAAAGTTCGCCTCAAGCCGGTCAACGGCCGCTGACACTGGCACCACCACCGGTGGATTTTACGGGCTACAATTCCAATGCGATGTCTCTGCCTCACCATCCTCCTCCTCCCCCACCACGACCACTTGAACCCGACAGGTCGACGCCTCTGGGTACGAGTTCAGGGAACCCGAAGAAGCGGCCGATTGGAGACACGGCTGGCACGGGCGATACGATGACGCCGCTCGAATCGAACCAGCTCCCTCCGATCATGTCGCAGACGAATCCGGCACCCCCGGCACGGCTGAATTCCATCTCCTCCCTCCTCAACCATACCTCATCTGCCGAAGAATCTCGCCTGGACCCTGCGCTGGGATCTTACGGTCGTCCATCGCAGCAACAGCCACCCACTTCTCTACCACAGCCACAGCCACAGTCACAGTCACAGCCACGGGGGTCGACAGACCTCGAAACCTACAAAATGGAGCGTCGTGCGCAGCTACAGCGCGAAGCGGAGGAGATCCGAGAAGCGCTGCGGGCGAAAGAGCGGGAGCTGGCGGAACTGGACCAATAACACTTGCTTGACTCGACTCGACTCCAGTGTTAAATCAAATGACATGACGGATGGGATGGGATGGGAGATTTGATTCGATATGATGACTGTATAACGATGTATGCTAGTTGCCTTTTTTTCCTTCTTATTCCTATTCCTATTATTATTATTACTATTAATTTAAGATACCTTGGGAAATGGACGGTTGTTAGTTTTCCTTAACTTGACTTGACTTATTTGACAAATGAATGAATGAAATAGCGAAGCGAATTTTCGACAATCGACAATGGAGAAAAAACAAACAGACAAACAAATAAACAAAAAAGTTGTGAGATCGATTGAACTTGTGACTTTTGCCTAAGATCATAAGTTGTATCTCTGTCTAGGTATCTACCGTCTAAGTAATAGTCACCTATCATATCATACCATGTCACTAATAATTAATTACCTGTAAAGGGAAGTAAGTAAGTGTGAGGAAGATAGGTAGGTATAACTAGCTAGAATCAATCAAAAAGGGAAAAAGAAAAGGAAAAAAATACAGCACAGAAAAAATAGGCCTAATTAGCTGAACTAAGTGGCTTATACGTAGGTATTTATTCAGTATGCAATAATGAAATGAAATGAAATGAAATGAAAAGCAGAGAAAATCAATAAATCATTTACCTTCAACTTTCTACATACATACATGTACAGTGCATACATGACGTATATATATATACCTGATTACAGCCTCGCCTTGTCCTTCCGCTGCTTCTGCTGCTGCAAAGCCTCACGGACGACTTCCACCGCTGTCGTCGCGCACCCAAACGACGTCTGGTACCCATAGCCGCCATGACCGTAGTTGTGGACCACCCAGACGCCGTCGATGAGCTCCTTTTCAATGCGCGGCCCGTCCTCGCGCACCGGCCGCAGTCCGACTCCGTGGCGGATGATGTCCAGTCCTTCGATCCCCTGGCCTGGGGCTACCAGGCTGGGACAGAGCTCGATGCAGCGTTTCATGATCCGCACGGCTAGGTTTGGGTCTGGGAGGGAGTCCCAGTTGTGTTTCTGGTAGGTGCCGCCTAGGATTGTGCCTCCTCCTGTGTGATGAATTTTTTTTTAGTCATGTCCGTTAGTATTTGAGGAGTATGTATATACGTACCCGCCGCTCGTGTCATCATGTAGGTGACCTCGTCATCTCCATCATCGGTGCCGGAGATGGAGCACATCAATCCGGGGTCGTTGCGAACGACGACAATCTGCCCTCTGGCCGGCAGGAGGGTGTTGTCCTGCACACCGCCCAATTTGCGGGACGACAGGCCCGTGCAGTTGACGACGAGATCGGCCTTCTGGCCCGAATGGTGCGCATTCGCTGCCTCGGCGACGTGCTTGAAGACGGCCCGCTTGAAGACGACGCCGTTCTTCCGGCATTGGCCGACCAGCCAGGGCAGGTACACGGCCGTGTTGATGCAGACGGAGGTGAAGCGGTTTGCGTTGTCGATGCCGGGGGGCAGTTCGTCTTTGGAGAGTTCACGGAACTGTACATAACCCAAAACCGGATGTCAGTAGATGATGACCTGGGAGAAAGAAAGTTCGTGGATAACATACGTTTGGCAGCACCTTCCCGTACCATGGGTTGGGCTTCACAAGCTCGGAGAACCACTGCCCCGTGGTCGACCCCTGGTCTTTGGTGCGATTGTACACGACGGTGTCTGTGGATGTCAGTTAGATGACATGAAATTCGTGAAGAACGGATCGGATGCTGGTTAAGGTTGTCTGTCCTACCTTGAAAGTGGATGCCAGCCTCCGGGTGGTTCTGCGCAATGTCTCGCAGATGAGGCCAAGTTGCTCGCTCCCACTGCCCGACGCGGCTATTTTCAGCGCCCACTCTACCATGGCAGTCAGTCTGTGACTTCAATGCTGGCTACACGCGATTCACCCTTGGAGGACGCACGGCAAGTAGTTGGCCCCGGCCCAAGGGGAGCAGTATTCGATATCGTAGTCGCCAGGCATGTGCTTGGCGGCGACGGTGATTTTGTTGGAAGGGTCCTTGGAGAGGAGCCATGCGGTGGTCAGGCCCGAGACTCCTGCCCTGAGAGCATTGTCCGTCAGCGCAACTCATAGCAGATAGTGCAGAGAGTGATAGAGGATAGCATACCCCAGAACGACGATGTTATTGGTTGCCATTGCTGATCTAGATAGATCTAGACTATCGCATGGATGAATGACTGCGAATTGTCTTGCACAGTAGCAGCCAAAGCTTCAGAGCTAGCCTGGTGGATAGAGTAGATATTTATATCTACCTAGGTCTGGATTGACTCCGAGGGTGGCCGATAATTGCCAACTGCTGGTGTGGGGCTCGCTAGTTGGCTCCGATAAGACGATAACCTTCCCTGCAATAATAATAATATCGGAGAGTAAAGCCCATAAGAGATTGATTGGAGGGTTCCTTGTGCTATTTTTTTAAAGCTATGGCCAGATTGCAATTTCAATGGGTTGTTCTGCCATCTTCAATTTCTCCGCATAAAGGATTCACTGAAAAGTGCCAGAAGTACCTGTATTTATCGAGTCTTCATTCAATAGACTAAATCTAGGCAGTTAATCTAATGAACTGTCGCACTCAACTCCAATAGCTTGATTCTTGATTGTCTGGCCTTGAATCATTTCAATTGCTCGAAGAGAGCTAGTATCACCTTGATTCCCATTCATCTAGCAGAGCCAGTCATGTGAATGTTGTCGCAGGCATTCACTTCTCTCGTCAATAGACCTGACCCATCAATAGCAATTGATCTCCAGCAGTGAATTCGGGTATCGCCATGACAGGCAACTATAAATTCGTCTCTTGTCTCTCTTGTTTCTCTTTTCTCTTTCTCTTTATCATCTCATCTCTCTCATCTCTCATCTAGACTGCGTTCAGCGTCTTCCCTTGTTTCTTCTCTCATTTGACAGCATCTTCGTTCCGTGCTTCTGGAAAGCACTCTGTTTCTCGACTCTCCTTCATTCTCTCATCCTCAATTCGACCTTGAATCCTCCAGCAGGCCTGGCGTGCTTTTTCGTGCTTTTTCTTACCGCTCGTTTCGTCATCGATGCTCGCGGCAGAATCCCGCGCTGGACGCGCCGCCCCGCCAATCAGCACCGCGCATTCCTCACCGCGTCGGCCTCGGTAAGGCTTCCCTTCCCTTACCCCGGTCGTGTTTGCTCTGCATTATCTCGCTTTGTCTGCTCGACCAGCTCCTTGCGTCCTCCCTTGTCCTTTTTCTTTTTTTTCTTTTTTTTCTTTCTTTCGTCACCTCTGCTCGACGAGGATCCCTCACGCCCCCCAAATGAGGGAGATTCTCGAGCAGGGCTCTCGCAATCATGGCTGACGTGCCTGGCAATCGGTCCAGGGTTGTGCCCATCATGGCCGGCCGTAAGCCCAACGGCGATGCCCCCCAGCCCAGAGTAACGCGAGCATCGAACAAAAAGGCCGCCGACGCCGACGCCCTGCGGCTTCCGTGTCTGGAGCAGCTGGGCTTGTATGCGTTTCCGACCAAGGGTGATGGTATGTATTTTTTTTCTACACCCCTCAATTCTGTCGACTCCCTGGCTGACAGTTTAGGCAACTGTCTCTACTATGCCCTGTCGGACCAATTGTACGGCGTATGGGACCGCTCATCGGAGATCCGCAATCACCTAGCCGAGCACATGAAAAAGCATCGCGACTACTTTGTCAATTTCACGGCTGCGGTCGGCGGGCGGCGGCGAGCCCCCAGACGAGCTGCTTCCGCCGCCGCCCGGGCATCCACTCCCGTGGGCCCCTCGGCGTCGCCCCAGGAGCAGGAAGAGGCGTTCGATGCCATGGTGGCCCGGTCCGGGACGGACGGCGTCTGGGGCGGATCGGAGGAGATCCAGGCCTTCTGCCAGTTCTACAAGCGGGACGTCAAGGTGTATACGGATTCGGGCATCCAGACCTTCCGGGATGTCAATGCTCCTCCGGACGAGGAAAGAGAGCAGGTCCATATTGCATTTCACGTAAGTGGGCATGGGATTGGCCGTTGATTCGGTGTCGCTAAGAGGTTTAGAATTTTAACCATTACTCGTCCGTTCGCAACATCAATGGCCCGCACACCGGCCTCCCATGTGTCAAGCCAACGGGGGAATTCAAACCGGATGCCGGGAAGGCGTCCAGCGAGTCCGGGCTGGTCATCGATGTGGTCAGTCCGTGGAAGATTTCATGCATCCAGGAAGGTCTGGGCGGCCGATACGACCACAACACCATTGTGGAGATGCTGCGCCGATGCCGCGGCGATATCGACCGCGCCTTTTCGAACTTGCTAGACGAGGAGACGTCCGGGTCATCGTCGCAGTCGTCGGCGGCGTCCGCTACCGCGAGTACTGTGTCGAAGAGCACTGCCAGTGTGCCGAGCCTCAAGCCTCGCTTACCGTCTTCCCGCTCTTCCTCCCGACACAGTACCGCGAGTAAGCGGTCGGCCGACGACGACAGCGACGATGACGGAGGTCAGCCTGGCCGACGCACCCGAGGTCGGGAGCAGAAGAGACGGATCCTGCCTAATGTCACCGTGGGCATCGCCTTCCGCGATGAGGAGAAGAATGACCTGGTGTCGTTGCGGCTGAGGGTCAATCCGGATGCCATGGCGGAGCAGGCGAAGGACGTTCCTGAGGGGGCTGATGGGTCGGATCCGCCTGCTGGAAAGAAGCTGCGGGCACGCAAGCCGAAGCAGCCGAAGCAGTCGAAGCAGCCGGCCAAGCGTCGGGTTAAGGAGTCTGGCGGCACGTCGACCGTCAAGCGGGAAGAGTGAGGTGTTTATGACGATTCCGCATTGCTGGCGTTTGGGCTTTTAGCATCGTCGAATTCGCAGTACATTGGGAGGAGCAAGGAGTTGGGAGTTTTTGACTGGCCATGTTATCTTATGATCTTGCTTTATCTTCTTGTCATTTGCTAGGAGTCTTTCTGTACATACATAGTCAGAAGGCTGGCCTTCGATGAAGAACACGAGATAAGCATGCACGAGATGTTCCATAGACTGGTAGATGTGCATATTACGGCTGCTTGCGGTACATTTTGCTGCTTAATATGACGATATCAAACCATGACATCGTTTTAGCAAGCTACCCACACTACTCCAAATCAACAATCAACTGCCCCTCGTCGCCCAGCTCCGGTCGCACAATCTCCGTGGACCCCATCAAATCCCGCGTCAGCGTGGTGATCCTCTCGCGTACCCAGTCATGGTCCGGATCGGACCGGTCGAGGAGATGGGCCTGGAAATGCTGGATGCGGGTGGGGAAGATCTCCAGTGTAGACGGACGGAGACGTAGTCTTTTCCCAGACTGTTCGTTTGTTTCTTCCTCTTCTTCTTCTCTGACATTCACCCTCCACACCGCTCCCAGATCATTCCGAAACCGCTCCGTCAGCGCATAATCGTCGACGAAATCCCCGCAGCCGTAGATGATCAGTTTGCCCGGTCGCGGCCTCTCCACGCCCTGGACATGATGCGACGAGTGGCCGTGCACAATGTCGACGTCGCACTCGTCGATCAGGAAGTGTGCCAGCGCCCGGATCTCCGACAGCGGCTCCCACGTGTAGTTGGGGCCCCAGTGCACCGAGAAGATCTTCAGCGCGGGCCGCGTCGAGGCCGTGTTGGCCTCGGGGCGCGGGCGCTCGGTCAGCAGTCGCTTGAGCCGCGAGCGCGTGGATGCTGAGTAGTCGATCAGGTGGAATGTTGGCACGGAGGCCCAGTCGCGCGGATGGTCTGAGGCGGACCAGACGTGGATGGCGTGTGTTTGCTTGTCGTCCTCCTGTTTCTGTTCCTGTTCCTCCCCGCCAGCGGAAGTCTTGGTGTGGGAAGGCCGCGAGGCGGGATCCTCCCGCTGCCCGCCCTCGCGGGACCCGCGCTCCCCGCGGGGCAGAGCGAGAATGGCGGGACTGATGGCCTCCTCGGTGGTCTCGCCGGCGCCCGCGAACGCAATGCGGGCCTTTTTCAACGTCCAGGCGGTCTCGACCAGCCCCTCCGGCCCAAAGTCCAGCGTGTGGTTATTCGCCAGACTGGCATAGTCGATGCGTGCCCGCTGCAGCGCCGCCGCCGCATTGGCGGGGTGCATGCGGTAGTTGAAGGCCTTGTTGGGCCAGGGCTCGTCGTGCGTCGTCGCCGACGTCTCGAGGTTGATCAGGTTGAGGTCGGCCTGCTGCAGCAGCGGCAGCGTGCTGCCCCAGGGGTGCGCGGGCGTGTACTCCCCTTGCAGCTTGGGGTGTCGCTGGCGGAATGCGGCGACGATGCTGGCTTCCTCCGGGTTGTACACGTGCTGCGGGAACAGCTGGTCGATCAGGCGGCCCAGCATGACGTCGCCGAGGAAGTTGAGGCGGAAGGTCCGTTTCGCGGTCTGCATTTCGGCCATGGTGGCATCGTTAGGACAGTATTCGCTAGAATACTGGCTGTCTGTCAGTATGCAATGAATTCAGAAGTTGTATGGATGGGTGTTATGCTGTTTCTATTTTCAGTCGCGGCCCGATATTATCTAAGTTGTGCTAACTTCATCATGACATAGGACCAGCCGCTCTCGCGTGGTAATCGACCTACCTGCATAGGCAATCTAGGTGCCTGAATACTCCGCACGCAGTCACGCCGCTCATTGGGCGATGGATTTCGTCTGTTCTGGTCCATCACCGCGACGTCATGTCCAACTTTCGAATTCGAAATATCTTGCTGGCGAGACAGAGACTCGTTCAACATGAGAAGAGGCTCGAGAAATAGCACTAGTCTGATACGAGTATATCGCAGACCACCTTGATTGACCACAGTACATACAATATCGACATCAATTGCCATATAAAAGCATACCTGTTTCCTACCTACCTACTTACTAGGTACTTACATTTAATAAACTCCATGCAACAATCCAGCTCGCGACCAGACTCGTCCATCTCAGCCAAGCTCCACAAGACCATCGCCGACTACGGCAGTCTCCCCCTCGAAGGCACAGGCGCCGTCAAGGTCGACGACCAGAACCAGACACAAGATCTGCAACCGACCCCGGACACCCTCCTCGCCATGGTCCTCGACGCCCTGCTCAAATCGACGCGCATCTCGCACGACCTCGCGCAGAAGACACTCAGCGCGGTGATCCGCGCCGGATACCATGACATTGACACCCTGAGCGCAAGCACCTTCGACGACCGTGTCAGAGTGCTGTCCGAAGGGGGGTACAATCGGTATCGGGAGCAGACGGCGACGCGGCTGGGGGAGTTGGCGGAGTTGGTGGAGGAGAAGTACGGTATGCACCAGCGTACATTATCTATCCACACCCTTCCTTTACGTGGAATGCATACTAATGTGGATGCGTTCTAGACGGCGACCTAAACAACCTCCTCCACCAAACCTCCTGCCAGCGGGACCAGATCCGGCGCCGGCTGAAAGAGATCAACGGCATGGGCGACCTCGCCGTGGAGCTGTTCTTCGACAACGCGCAGGCGGTGTGGCCGTGTCTGGCGCCGTTTGTCGACTCGCGCAGCCTGGCGACGGCGGAGGAGGTGGGCATCGGTAGGGATGTCGATGCCATGTACGCAGAGGTGGATCGTGATCCGGTCGAGATGAGCAGGTTGGCGAGGGGGTTGTCGGAGGTGAGGTTGGATAAGAGGCAGAGAGAGATTGCGCAGGGGGTATAGTAGCAGAAGAAGCATCTATACTTTCTGTCCCGTATTTGTCTCACAGCGAGACTGTACTGTATAATATAAACTGATGTGTATTAGACATTTCTGAATCTGCATAAGACGAAGGTCTTGGAAAGTGATGCAATGGATAATAGATGTGTCAATTTATTTATTTATTTTTTTATAAAAAAAAGAATAAGAAAGGAAGGAGTAACTTCACATCGTGCGTATATATACATACCATGAGAATCTCTTCCTCTCATTTCTAGAAGAGACAACAGGCAGGCAGACAAACAGAACTAAACACAGCCAGATATAAATGAAGTACTTGCACTCGCATCCGCATTTACACCAGCATCTTCGCCCTCGAGAGTATCTCCAGACCACTTTAACGCCAGTATCATCGTCAGAGTTCTCTCCAGGTACACTATAGTACAGTATTCAAGAACCGAGGGTTCAGGACTCGCAGAACAAAGCAGGGCGGTAGAGCCGACACTATATTAGATGTGGCCTTGTTGGTCCACAAATCCCGGTGCAAAAAGGGGAGGTTTTTGGCCTACCTACCTGAACTGCTTCCTGTGATTTATTTCTAACACTCTCCTTCTCTTTATTATTCTCGAAAACATAACCTGCAAGTAACAAAAAAAATAGATTCCTTGAACTGGTTTCACCAAGCACACAAATCACGTGCCAAATTCGCGCCCTTGAAAACAAGTTAACAATGGCTTGATTTATTAATTACCTGTATTTATTTCAACTCCGCCTGAACCCAGGCAACGGATGATCCAGTCCTCCTACCTCCTTTCGCTGATGTAACTGATAATGTCCTCGCCATTTATAGACCTTGATCGCAATCCTATTCCCGGAGATGAAATCCTTGGCTATGGCAGGTCAGGGCTAGTAGTCCTTCGCAATAATGATTGCAGTCAAAATGCCAATAAGATACAAGAGCAGCACCGATGATGACGTGCAAGTGAATATCGAGGTCATCCAGCGCGAACAGGATGTGTATCGGCGCTTAGGGCAGTGTGATGATGTTGTGCCCTACATCAGCTTTTCTGAAACGACTACTGAGCTCGCTTTCATGGAAAATGGAGACCTACGTACCTATTTGACCAAAAATCGGCCTCCTCCTTCTAAGTCTCTTCAGCTCTCCCGTCAAATGGCTCGCACTCTCGTGCGTATACATGACCGTCGTGTTATTGTGGCAGATATTGCTAGTCGCAATTTCCTCCTTGCTTCGGATCTTTCTGTCAAGTTCTGTGACTTTACGGAGTCATCTATTATGCCTCCCCATATCGATATGGAGACTGCCGACGACAACGGATATTCGATTCAGACAGATATCGGGCAGCTTGGGGCAGTGATGTACGAAGTTGTGACGGGAGAGCGTTGTGAGTTTGATCTCTTTCAGGATCAAGAGGCTAGTAGCCACGCTACCTGGCCTCGAGGAGAGACCCTCCCTAGTACCGAGAATATTTGGCTTGGTCCAATTATTGAGAAATGTTAGACTAAAGGTGCCTTTCAGAATGTGGAGCGCTTGTCAGGGGCGTTAGAGTCGGTCGGTTTGGATCATCAATCTACTCGGGGAAATGTGACAAACCGAAATGCAAAGCCTCAGAGGAAGATACTTGATGCTATACAGTATTTGAAAACAGGCCTCACACATGGCGTTTCCATACAGCCTATCATCACACTCGCGGTCACAGTTGGCGCCATTACATTTCTTGCCTGGGCCAGGAGACGGTTTTAAGTACTGTACACTTAGAGTCCTGCTTATATACACTGCACGACAAGACAATCCTCACTCATTCTATCGGTTGGCTTGAGAGCAGACTTACACAACCACATGTGCTTCCTTGGCCAAAATTGTACTGCGGCCACCGCACAAATCACACATACAAGTCGATGAACTTCAACGCGCCACTATGCTACCAAAAACACCTCAAAATTCGCAGGGCGAATTCTATTGGCTATTTCTGCTATAAAAAAAATCACAGGAACCCGCTGACTATTCGCAAAGCAGCACATCTTTTATGACATTCCTCAAGACCGACTTTGCGGGTGTGTTATGAAGGCAAATAACAGTGCCATTGGGTACAAATTGACAATTACCAGAGAGAAAGATGCATCTTTCTACAATGGATATTGTCCCTGGATAGGCATGGAGCAGCTCCTTGGCTGGTCACTGTGCAAGAAAATGGCAAATATCCTTCCTTCTTTCGGAATGCAGTCCAGCAGATATTTCTAAGACAGTAACTGTGTTGGCAAGAACTGGGTATCCGACTTCATCAACTATTATATTATAAATAAAGAGCTCAGAATGTATGTACATACATTACAGTGTTGGTCAAATCATCGCAAAGAAACTGCTACAGTATCTATAGATTATTGCTGATTGATATACTTAGGTGTATTCAATCTTATCCTTACCTCTTAAGGAACCCCACTCTTATTAATTACCTAGCTTAATTTTCTTGCTGTTACTCCGTAGTTAGACAACACCAGGACAATTGTTATTGAATTAGAAGATGGAGAATTTAAATTTAGGTACGATCGGAGGAGTGGAGAGTGGAGACTTGAACTTTCTCTCCATGCTTCTTGCGGAGTAGTATTATTAGTTTCTTTTTTTCCCTTTCATCAACCTAATCTAATCCAATCCACTACAATCCAATCTAATCCAGTCAGTCTATGGATATTACCTCATTCAATTCGCTGTGCTGTGCACTACCTACTACATAGTATAGTATTACAGGAGAATACTTACAGCGCACAAGCTTGATATTATCAATCATAAGGACATGCGAGACTGCCGATTTTGAATCATCATCTTCATCTTTTTTTAAATTTTCATGACGTTACGTACCTCCAGGTCACCAGTTACCAGGAAATGTCGCAAGTCCAGTCGAGTTCATTGTCATCGTCCAATTCGGAAGACAGAATTCCGCGACATGGCTCTAATGAAGATCAAGATCAAGAACAGGCCAAGCATATGACTGATACGACTCCCAACAAAACAGATACAAGCGGATACAAACTGGGACAGGTACATGAACCCTCCCAGGAAAAGGTGCATGCATCACCGCAGAGATCAGAACTAGAACCAGTATCAACATCAGCACCATCACCAGCATCAACACCTCCAGACAATGATGACAAACCATCTCGCGGCAGATTCCGAGTGCTGGCCATTTTTACCGCTCTTTCAGTACGTTCATTCATCCTACCTCAACATTAACAAATGTATGCACTCCAACTGACGTCTCCAGCTCTCCCTCCTCATCGCCGCCCTCGACCAAACCATCGTCGCAACAGTCATCCCGACCATCGCCGCCGACCTGCACTCGGCAGCAGGCTACGTCTGGATCGGAGGCGCCTACCTCCTCGCCAACGCGGCGGGGGCCAACATCTGGGCGAACCTGTCCGACATCTGGGGGCGGAAGCCCGTGCTGCTGGCGGCCGTGGCGCTCTTCTTTGGCAGCTCCATCGTCTGCGCGACGGCGGTCGACATGACGATGCTGATTGTCGGCAGGGCGCTGGAGGGCGTTGCGGGCGGTGGGCTGATCCAGCTGGTTACCATTACCATTTCGGATCTTTTTAGCGTGCGGTACGTTGTCAACAATACATGTCATGTCATGGTGAATGCCTGCTGACTACCTTGCAGCCGCCGGAGTCTCTATCTCGGTCTCCTCGAGTTCATGTGGGCGATTGCCGGCGCCGTAGGGCCCATCATGGGCGGTGCCCTTACGCAGGCCGTCTCCTGGCGATGGATCTACTGGATCAACCTGCCCGTCTGCGGCACGGCGTTCCTACTCCTACTAATCTTCCTGGACGTGCACAACCCGCGCACGGCGATGCTGGACGGCATCCGGGCGATCGACTGGTTCGGCAGCGTGTCGATCCTGGGCCTGACGCTGATGCTGCTGCTGGGGCTGGACTTTGGCGGTCAGATCCCCTGGGGCTCGCCGCAGGTCATCTGTCTGATTGTCGTCGGGTGTCTGCTGTCGCTGGTCTTTGTCTACTGCGAGAAGCGCCTCGCGCGGTATCCGCTCATGCCGCTGGGGATTTTCAAGAACGTGTCCAATGTGGCCTGTTTTGTCGTGGCGTTTTCGCACGGGATGGTAAAACACATTTTCTTTCTTTCTCATCTTGTTGCTGATAATTGCTATTAGGTCTTCATCGGCGGAGAATACTACCTCCCCCTCTACTTCCAATCCGTCAAGGAAGCCTCACCACTGCACTCAGGGCTCCTGATTCTCCCCATCGTGCTAACAGAATCCTTCCTGAGCGCGCTAGCCGGCGTCATCATCCACCGGACAGGGCGGTACCTGGAGCTGATCCGGGTAGGGACGGCATTCACCGTGCTGGGGACAGGCCTGTACATCGATCTGGACACGGACTCCTCTCTGGGGCAGATCATCGGGTTCCAGATCGTGGCGGGCATCGGCTCCGGCCTGCTGTTCTCGCCGCCGCTGATCGCGATGCAGAGCAACGTCTCGCAGGCCGACACGGCCGCCGCGACTGCGACTTTCGGCTTTGTGCGTAACCTGGCTACCGCGTCGTCCATCGTGCTCGGCGGCGTTATCTTCCAGAACAGCATGACGCTGCGCAAGACGTCGCTGAGGGCAGCAGGCTTGTCGCCCGCGCTGACGGAGCAGCTGGCAGGCGCGGACGCAGCAGCCAACGTGCTGCTGTTGAGAAACTCTACTACTACTGTTTTGGGTCTGCAGCAGCAGCAGCGACAAGCCATCAAGGACGCCTTCGCATGGAGTCTGCGCAACATGTGGATCCTGTACATGAGCGTGGCGGCCGTGGGGATGGTGGCCAGCGCGTTTGTCTCAAAGCAGAGGCTTAGCAAGGAGCATGTGGAGACGAAGACGGGGATTAAGGAGAGGGAGAGGCAGAGGCAGAGGCATCTAGAAAAATAGTGGTTCTCTCTCATGACCCTTATGTACTGTACATACTTTTGTACGAACTTGGTTATGACTTGTCTACGCATATATTATAGTACAGTATAGTATAGTACACACGAAGATCTAAGTGTATACTGTATTTACAAAAATGCTTTTCTCAAGGATAACTATCTTGATGATAGCTTGCAGTTTACTTTGATAATTTGATTTACTGATTGGTTACAATACGCAGACAGGATAAGCATGATACAAGTAGTAGATTGATCGACTCATCTATTCAGGATGAGCGAAAGTCCTATAGAATGGAGTATCTCTATCTAAGAGTTCCTCCTCCATCATTCATCCTTGCGCCTTTTTTTTTTCTTTCTCTCTCTCGAAATAACCACCGTTATTTGCTGCTTGCTTGCGTTTACAGGTTGTTCTTAATGGCAGCCTCCAGAGCAGGCGGGTTGGCACCGACAACCTCGGCAACCTTCTGGCCGCCCTTGAACAGCAGGAAAGTGGGCATGGCGCGGATGCCCAGCTCCTGGGCAACGTCCGGCACGGCGTCGACGTCGAACTTGACGAACGTGGCGTCGGTGTAGGTCTCGCTGAGCTGGTCGACCTTGGGGGCCATGGCCTTGCAAGGACCGCACCAGGTTGCGAAGGCGTCGAGGACGACGAGCTTGTCACCGGCGACGGCGCTCTCGAATTCGGGTTTGCTGGGGGGGGTGTCAGTTTGCTGTAATTCTGCGCAGGGAGAGTGTAGCTCACCTCTTCAGTTCTTGGACACCCATTGTGACAGAAGAAGGCTGGAATCTGGACGCAGCAGTGGAGGAGAAGTTTCTCGCAGGAGAGCGTACGAGCGACGTCGGCGCAGAAAAAGCCACACGCGACGCAGAGATGGGAGAAGACGAGACGATGCGGCGAAGCGAGGCCACGGTGGACGCGAGGGCAGAACTGGCGCGATTGAGGCTGATTAATATAATACGACGGACAGAGCGATGGATGGAGAAACGGAGGGAGGGGCTTTATAGTGGGCAGGAGGGGTGTGCGGCAACAAGGCGCGGGTGGAGTGACGTTATTAGTCAGGGCAGGCAGGCCACGGCGGGTGATTCGCTGGACAGGGCGGATGAATAATCCAGCATGGCTGCTGAGCAAGCAGTTCTACAATGGCTGTGCCTGTCTGTCTGGTCTTGGGATGGCAGTCGATATTGATGGCTGTGTATGTCCATGCATATGCATATGCAGTCTTTACTCCATACCTCATTATGAACGTCTAAAGCAGGAGCAGCTTTGCCTGGGACCGGTTAGAGCCAGCTCTGCCATGATTCCAGCGTCACTTACAACTGAATGAATGAACAACGGATCTCTACTGCAGAAGCGGCAATGCTGCGAGGAGTGGCGGATGCTCACCTCGCCAAGGACCCCGACGCAAGAAAATTCGGATTGTTTAGCGCCCAATTGATGGCGAAGAGGACGACCTGGAGATGTTCAGACTGCGAGCGAACTCGGCGACGGGCTAGTTGGGGCGGATGACGTGCCGACCTGCTTACCAATCGGAGTCGGTCTAGACAGCGGCAGCCAATCCCGACCGTCTCTGCCATTGGGCAAGCACGGCATCTCTCGCAGGATTCTATGGCATCATGTTGATATGCTTGCAAATCGATAACGATCTGCGCGTGGTCCATGCATCCAGTTTGCTTGCTGCGTCGATCTGCTCCTGTTCAGCTGACATGTCGGCCTTGACCCCGCTTGCGGTCGATCTGCGCATGGATATCACCGAGAAATAAGAGCATATTCAGCCTACAGTTCAAGAAAATTCCCCTGTTCGATGCTACGCAGATAGTCATTAAAATATACATTCCACGTACAATGTATATAGCTGTGAACCGTCTCTTTCGGCTCGCTCCTGTCCTGCAGATACTGATTCGACACGGTCGAATATGAGGAATCACCGGTCGCAATGGAAACTTATTGGAATCGCATCCAGTACCCTCGATTTATCCTGTCACTGTTGAGAACAGACGTGGAAGACACTCAGTGAGTATGGAAAATCACATGGTATTGCGCACAGGACTAGGCCTGCACTTGAAAGATTCGTGCCAGAACCAGGACACATCAGAACCCATGATACACTACCAATATGTGTGCATTAAAACATCGAACAGCCGGAAATGTAACTCAACAAACAAGGGCAAGGGGTATCTGATACAACAAAGGGACGAAGGATGAAGTCGACATCTAGTCTTGAGCCACCAGGTTTGCCGAAAGGATGCATACAGAAAGAAATAAATAGGAAAGGAAATTCAAAGGAGTGTGGTTCGCCAGTCCGAAATAGGAGAAGGGCGAAGTGATGGTGTTTGTTATTCTTTTCTTCTTTTTTTCTTCTTTTTTTTTTCTCTTTTATTATTTTTCTTTCATTCTTTTTGGTTTGCTTCTTGCTTATCCTTTCGCCGAACCAAGAAACCGTCAAAGGAATGTCACAGTGGGACGGAATGTGGCATCAGACCTGGTGCGAACTCGAGCCAAGTGTCTCTTCACCTTCTTACACAACTGCAATGCATACGAACACAAGAAGAAATTAGGACCGTTCCACCGAGTGAGATCGCCTCGAATCGGTAGAAGCCCGGCCGCGAATCTCCAGCAGCCGGGCACTTCCCGCGCTGATCTGGCGCGCATGTCCATGTCCTCGGGCCATGTCGACACTGGTGGCGCGCCGGATCTCAACTGCTTCCTCCTCCACGGGGCTGCCTTCTCTCGGGCTGACATCACCTTCAGCAGATGCATCCATCATCTGGACGTCGTTGAGCAACCCCTCCTTCGACTTGGGCCGGTCCCGCGGACGCACCAGCGTCGGTCGCCGCGCCAGTCCGGCGTGCCAGGTTTCGTTGGCCTCTTTCTCGGCTGGATCGGGTGTTGAAGAAGCGTCGCAGTCGCCTCCATTTTCAAGGCCCACTGCACTGCTGCTTGCTCGGAGTCCAGAGACGGAATCACGCGACTCGTGACGTTCATCCTCACTGGGGTTGTCACCCTCTTTGAATTCCTCATACTCATCGAGCCTGTTCTTTACGAAACTCGTACTGCGTCGGACAGGAGGAGTGTGTGCAGCCTGGGAAATCCGACGCAGGTACTTTCCAGACATCCACGATCCTTCCGAGTCGATCGACGCCAGTGACTGGGACAGGAAGGCACTGTCGGGGCCCGTGCCACGACTGCTCGCTTCCCAGGATAGAGGGCGGCTCGGACCTTGGTCATCGTGCCCGGGTTCGGTATCGACAGGGGAAGGATGGCTGATGGCGGCCGCCATCTGCTCGTCAAGGCCTTCGCTGATCTGGTCTGGATGAGGAGACGTGTCCGCAACGGTTTCCAGACCTTGGGGCGTTGGCGATTGAATGCGTGAGTCGGGCGGCGAGATGGGGTAATCCCCGAGGTGCTCCGTGAACTTCGACTGCGTACGACGGACGGTCCCAGTCCGGAGGAAGCTTCTCTCCGGAATGGCGGGAGGAGCCACGGCAGCAGGATGCTGCGCCCTCGAAAAAGACTCTCCAGAGGCGTTGGAGAATTCAGAAGGTGGACGTCGGCCACGCTCCGAAGAATCTCTCTTTCCGCGACGGAAGAACGACGTCCACGAAGCCAGGCGCCTGCCGCTGTAGTCCGACAAGCGTCTTTCGGAATCGCCCGTGCGGGAGAGGTGCGAAAGGTCGGAGATGGATTCACGAGCTCCGCAAGGAAGCTGGGAAGCACTCGTGCTGGCACGATCCTGTGAAACTGGGGACCGAGACGGCGACACAGGGCCCTTCAATGATGCCTGGCCTGTTTTGCCGGCGCGAATCGACCGGTCGTCGATGTTTCCAATTACATGGGCGGACACCTCGGAGAGACGGTTGCTTCGGGTTTCACTGTCTCTGGAGGGGCCTCGTAACCACGAACCGGACTGCTCTGTAGAGACGCCAGCCTGTGGACCTGGCTCGGGCTGGACCCTGTGCGCGGTGGATGTGGTGCTGGTCTCCGTGCGGTCTCTACCGCGCAGTTCCTCCGGATCAACATCCGCCTGCTCGCGACCACCCGCCTGTCGTCTCTCCTCCTCTCGCTGACGCTCCGCTCGGCGTTGGAGCCGGCGCTGGAGTCTCTCCTGTTCCTCCTGGCGCTTCTTTTCCTTTCGACGGCGATCCCTCTCGAGGAGCTCTCTCAAGGCGGGAGCATCCATGTCGTCCGCGAGCTCTGCGACCCTCTTTGACGAATGCGCGTCATTGTCTTCTAGGAACGGTCTTTTGTCCTTTCGCATGGAATTTGCAGACGGGTTCTGGCTTCTGGGCATGTGGTATTTCGAGGAGTCTGCATATCGAATCACAGGACGCGGTGCGAAGACAGCAAGGGCATTGACCTTGTAGGCGTAAGAGTCGGAGTACTCTGAGATGGAGGATCGAGCGGAATCGTGGATGAAAAGGCTGTAGTCGGACGCATGGCGATCGGTATGCCGGCTGAGAGCGCTGCGGCCTCTCCGAACATCCCACGTGTGGTATTCACGACCCGGAAGAGGAGAAGAACTCATTTCTCGGATTTCCTGCTCTCGAGCCAGGTCTCGTGCTGAACGCTTGCTCAGCCTCTTTTTCAGCGTCCCTTTCGAGGAGCCGCTGCGCCGCTTCTGCAACATGGGGGTCGCATGGAAATGTTCCTGACTCATGCTGAAGGAATCGGACAACGACACGGGATGGTCAGCACGACTTCGAGACGAGGGCAATGGCTCGCCGGTCGGAGATATCGGGGGGGCTGCGCGTCGCGATGACGGGGACTCGGCCGCAGGAGCGCTTCGGGGGTGACTCTTCTCACGTTTGGATCGTTTTCTGGACGGCTTTCTGGTCACGAAGCCCTGCTGCTGGGGCACGGGAGAGAGAATGGGAGGTTGGGACGAAAGCGTGCCCTCAGCCTTGTCCGAGGCCTTCATCTGACTCCTGGGCCGCTTGCCCTTGCGACCAAACGGCCATATTGCCATGGCTCAGCAGAGGTGAGTTTTTATAACGAGCCGCGTGCACGACCAGCTGGAGGTCCACCGGTGGGCCGGGAGCGCGGGCGAGCCGACACGGAGTTAGATAGTGCGACAGGCGTGCTGGTGGTCGGTTGGGGAATCGGACGGATGGGCGACGGGATTCATGGGTGGTGGTCGACAGCGGTCCGAGGCGATCAGAAGGGCGAGAGAGCGTCCAGCTGTGGATGGGAGATGATGGATATGGTTGATTTGGATGAGGATGGAGGACTGGCCGGTGGATAAAAAATTCGGGGATGGGCGATGGCAGGCGCCGCCGCTAATCAATCACAACGGTGAGGTGGCAGCGCACGGCCGTGCCTGGCGGGTTCCAGGGCTCGTTCTGGGCCGCTTCCGTTCCGTGGCCGCGGTGCAGCTGCCCGTTAATTCGTGTTTTCTGTTCTTTTCTTTTTCCTGCTGGTAGACCTCGACATGCGAGATCAGCTCCTATATACTCTACATGTAGGCCGTGATTCATCGTTTGCTGGCAGCCTCTGCCAGTCGCCTGCTCCGTCCGTGCAGGAAGTTCCAACGTCACTCTGTATGAAGTGCAGCGACTTGGCACGCCTGTCACGTCACACTGAAACCTCCGGGCTGAGCCTCTTATCCATCCCTCGACAGATGTACTCTGTACCGTACGTACAGTACAATCTATGCCCAGTCATCCAGTGTCCTCTGTGCCTGCCAGATGAGTCTACATCTCGAGATTCCGCGAATACCGCGGGCCTTCGACGGGCATATCGACGGATTAAGTATGCAGACAGACAAAGCCTGCTGTCGTACAGAGTCGACAGACTGCACCGTCTGCACTCCGCAGCGCCGAACAGGGGACGCGCCATGTCGCCACCTGAGTGGCTCGACCGGGGGATATTCCGATGCAGGACACGCCGGATACAGTAAGATACCACGCTTACAGCCCATTGCCGCGAATCCACGACAGCCGGTCCATGTGGCATGTAGGACAGACTACGCCAGTTGGGTGTGCCAGTGCAGAAATGATCTGTCAGAATCGTATTGGAAGATGCGTGTCTTTGTGGCCAGGAGACAGATCCTCTGATTCGGCCGGCTGTTGGGCCCGTATGGAGTACCGAGATCTTGGTCAGCAGTATTACCGGCAAATAACGGTAAAAGACTCCGATTTAGCATCGAATAGAAATGCGACAAATCCCTAGCTGTACTCCGTAAGATAATCAATCAAAAGGCAGAGAAAATTGCCTGCTTTCAGTTCTTTTTTTTTTTATCTGACCAATCACTGCCGTACAAGCCTGCAAAACTGAGACATTGTGCCAGCGACCCTACAGTAATTAGTCGGCGGCCTCGAGACCTCTGCCGTTCCTGCGTTTCTCCGCCCGTGAAACCTTTCCAACAGCAGCAGACAGGTCGTAGCTAGCTAGTATTCCCCAGAGCAAAATCCTGACAATATCTATACGTTCCAACTCGAGTAGGAGCATTTTCATCCTAAACCTAAGATACAGGAATGCGACTCAGCAAAGGTCATTTCCGTCCTTGGAGAGCAGCTGCTTTTTCACTCGGTCACGAAGCTAGCGTAGTAAGTATGACACAGTAGAGAGCTACTCAGCTCATCTGAATCGCGAAAAGGAATGGTATCTAGTGAAGGATAAGCTTCGACAATGCCACAATGCCACACTTAGTCCAGAACTCCAGCATCGAAACTCAATAATCGATAACCTTTTTTTTTCTTTCTTTTTCTTTTTCCTTTTCTTTTTCTTTTTCTTTTCCTATCTCTGTCACCCATAGACGACTCTGAGCCTGAAATGACGACTTAATTTAACTACAAGCCAATGGATACCACGTACCTACCTAATAAAGCCTAAAGATGGAGTGAATTGCCATAACCTCCAACATAGGTGCCTGCCTGGAAAGTAGTCCTGCTGTGAGGTCATTGGATGCTCCTGTAGGTCAGTCATATTAGATAGATAGTCTGTCTGCTCTCACGAGAGAAACTAAGATAAGAGCGCTAAGATTAGCTACTCCGTACACTCCCCGCAGTCCATCTTGATCACTGTCCATTCCCAACATCACCACCGCCAATTCGTGAACGAGAAAAGGGAAATATACCAGAACTAGGGCATCAATCTTACTATTTTTTTTAATTTACTAATACTAAAAGAAATCACTTTGGTTTGCTACAATGTCCGGTCCTCTCGACCCCGCAACAGGACAACCCCTCCCCGCAGACGCCCTCCAGCGTGTCCTCTTCATCGCCCGCGCCGTCCACGTCTACGCCCTCCCACCCCTGACGTCGATGAAAGGCTACACGGCGGCAGACTGGACGACGCCAGACCCTCGAACAGGCAAGACGCGGCAGATCTTCACGGCACGACTGCGCATCCTCGAAACCGCCATCCCAGAGGACGACGACAACCAGCGAGAAAAAGTGAAGACGGACATCCTGCTGGAAGACCCCGACAGCGGCAATCTCTTCGCTGCGGCGCCGTACACGGATCCCGGGGCGGTGGAGCACGTCCTCGACTCGTCGCGCTTCTTCGTGCTGCGCGTCGTCGGCGAGGGGAAGAAAGCCCTCCTGGGGATCGGCTTCGAGGATCGAAGCGAGGCGTTCGATTTCGGCGTCGCGTTGCAGGAGGCGAGGAAGATCCTGGGCTTTTCTGATAAGCAGCAACATACATCATCATCATCATCCATAAACAACAGTGCTCGGGGGACCTCTGCTGCCTCGCAATCGGATACTGCCTCTTCCGTCAAAGATTACAGCTTGAAGCCTGGGCAGACGATCAGCGTCAATGTGGGCAGCAGACGACGTCCTCCAGATCCCAACGACGCGGTGAGCCCTGCCCCGGCAGCCAAAGAGGAGGAAAAGGCCCTGTTCTCGATCCCTCCGCCGCCGCCAGCGTCCGGGACGTCGATCATGAGTGGGGATCAGTCTGATCGGAGGAGAAGGAGGTCTGCCTCCATAATCGCGGAGGGAAAAGAATAGTTGGTGTGTAGTTTTGCTGCAGCAGGCCTGAAGTTCAATTCCAATGATACCCTGAAGAGCGCACAGTAAATGATTGGTCTGCTGTTGGGATGTTGGAGTGATATATACGTCTATACTTAATCTTAATTCATGTGAATAGGGACTCATCTTGCACAGCATACCTGTAGTGACTGGTTTATTGGAGAGACAGTGTATATTTCTGAACGATTGATTGAATTTCGACAGCAAAGACAATTCTAATTCCAATTGCTAGCTGAGGAGGACAGTCGCCCGCAACCGAAACTCGATCAGCTGAAGCGCATTTATAAAGACAGACCCCATAACTCCATGCAGTGTTCCACCGGTGTAAAATTCTCTCCCTGTATCGATACAGTCGCAAGTGAGAGGCAATGCGAATCCTTTTCGTGAATATCGCCGACACCCTCTGGTCAATTCAACCGGATAGCGAGCGGCAGGAGTCGGAACTCTGTTCCAGTCGAAAAAAAGAGAGAAAGCATTCCCATCCATCAAAACAAAACAAAACGCGACATGGCCAAGTCAAACGAAATAAAGCAATGCAATAAGTCGACTTGTAGCCAACTAGTACATCTTGGTAGCGAGAGCCTTCTTCTGCAACCGCCTCGGCTCTCGCCGCTCCCTCTCCAGCACGCGATACTTCTGGCTGCTGCGACGGCCCAGGAGCTTCTTCAGCGACCACGAGTAGTCGTAGAAGGAGGAGAGGCGGTTGTCCTCTTCGACGAAGGACCGACGGCGTTCCCCGATCAGCAGGCTCGACGAGCGGTTGCCGATGCTGGATGTTCGAGTGGCGGTTTCTGCGTCCATGCTTGCGCGCGAGGGGCAAGAATTATTTTCTTGAATGGTGCTTGCGAAGGGTATGTCTCGTTCGTCTGAGTCGGCGACTGATTGTATGATTGGACTGCCAAAGGTAGATAGGTTTAATGAAGCTGACTAAGTGATTGCTGCACGAGCATGCGGGGATGGTCGAGGGCGTGCAGGTGTCCGTCAGACGCAGCAGAGATCAAGCTTCCTCTCCTGCAGCAGAGCGCCAGAGAGATAATAGATATAAGATCTTCAGGACGAGCCTGGAAGAAAGAAAAAAAGGAGACAAAGTGTCGAAGAAGAAGCTCAGCTACTGCAGAAATGATTGACAGGAAGCACTGGCCACTCAGAGCCACGGTCCAGTGGTCGATGACAGCAGCACGATGATTCCACTCCTGATTGCACGCGGCATCCTCAGCCATCCGCCAGCCCAGCCCCTCCTGGACAAACCACAGCCTGTAGTTTGCCTGCACAGAAGAGCTTCCCAGCAAGCTGAGCTCTAGTCACAAGGCAAAGATCACCTGCCATTAGCATGTAGCATCTACCATGTGAAGATCATGACTGCTATTATGTTCGTTGTATTCGTTGTCTGAATCCACTTGCGCCACTACCAGATCCAATTAATGATCCCGCACATGACCCGATCAACTGGACGGATCCGAATTCTGTTCTTCCGCAGACATCCGCTGACAGCAGCCGGCAGTATCCTTATTACCTCATCACTGTCCTTTAACTAATAATAATAACCCCTCAATTCCACTTACAGTAAGGCCATCCAGCCACACGGATTTCTCGACAAAGCGAGTCTGACTGAATCTGAGAACAATATACGTATGGTAGGAAGCCCTCCTGGGCGTATTTCGTAGACGATAAAGAATACAATTTGCTCCACACGTGATACTCGAATTAATGGTGACAGTGGAACTGCTGAGGGATAGATACGGATGTAGATGCTATGGGTGGGGGATCCGCCTGGGCAGTACTCCGTACGGAGTAGACTATCGCCTTAAGCAGGCCTTGTACCTGGTAGGCATAGAAGTCAAAACAAAATTCTTTGGTATAGGTAGGGCAGCTATTAATATTATTTATTTTCTTTTCAAATAATACTAATTAAAATATAAAAAATATTAGGAATAATAATAAGATTTCCACTCACTCATCGACCATGGAGAGAAAAACGCGGGGTAATAGTACGGAGTAGTATTTTAATTTAACGAAAACCCACATAATAAACCTTAGCTGGAGGATAAAGTGGATAGTTTAACCAAACCAAGCCTAGCTAGCCACTGGCATGCGGTGTGCCAAATCACACCGCCAGTCTACGCTATGAGATCTATCCATTCTATCGCTTGCTGCCTTACCGTCTTTCGGGACCCTTTCCATGATGATGGATCCAAAATCCATGTAGGTACTAGGTACCTACCTAACCTACCTACCTAAGGTAATCATGACCTTACCATCTACCCAGACAGGCAAAGTTGCACTGCACTGCACACTCTCGTTGGGCTCCGACTTTACCCAAACTTTATTCATTCTCCCCACGACGGGGACTTTAAAAGCACGATACGGAGTACTACGCATATATATCCATTGACAACTCAGCGTGTCTCCATTTTTTAAAAATCCTTTCTTTGTCACTTGCGCCGTCTGGTCTCCACCTTAAGTACATTACCTTCAATTGCTCTCCGCTTTTATACTTAAATCTAGCAGAGAGCTATCGTTTACCTACCTAACCTACGCATATAACTTAACTACACCTCCCCCCACCTCCCTTCCCTTCCCCGCAACAGCGATACTACTTCAATACAATACTATTATTCAACCTGACAGAACAAAGACACCCAAAAAAAAAACAACATGGCCGCAATCTGGCTCTTCGTCGCGCTGGGATACCTCCTCCTGTACGTATTTGCTGCGGTGCCTGATGCCCATGTCCAGGCACTATTACCCGCAGCTGCATCCGCTGAAAGATCTCAATCTTCTTCTCTTCATCATCTTCTTCCGTTTGACTACGCGATGAATCCGCTTCAGTTTCAGCTTCGGGACCAGCTACGGCACCAGAACTGGCAGGGATCGTCTCTTCCTGCATCTTGCATTGCATCGGCTGCATCTGTTTCACCTGCTGATGGCTTCCTGCATCGCCACGAGGTCCCTGCTGAGGCCGTGCTCGATGCTTTTTCTCTTTCTCACGTCTGGTGAGAGGGTGGAGACTGCATTATTCCGCGACAGGATTTACTTTACTGCGTCTTGTCATGCCATACTTAGCCCCACCGCACTGCACTCACTCCATGCGACCTGTCACTCATGAAGGTCCTTCTCCATGCATACACCTCTGGTACATACATACAGATTACGGGGCTGGCATACTGTCTATACGGACGCAAGAATGATTCTGAATGAATGAATGAATCAGATGGCATCAATCGCTCGACAATCGATTGATATTCAAGTCGACATCACATCAGATCTGATCTGATCTGATAAACGCGTGACACGTGACACGAATGGAAAACGAGTCATGAAAATGAAACGAGAAACGAGAAACGAGAATCAAATTACGAGAGACGAGATACGATATGAGCAACGAGATATGAGAATGAAACGCATGATGACATTGATTGACATGTGACATGATTATGATGATGATGAATGAACGAATGAATGAATTACTGGACAAGAAATGAATACACGGAGAAAAAATCTTTCTCGCTGGCGTTCTGGTGATGGTTAGTTATGGTGCTGGTGATAGTTATGGTTCGGTTACTGCTGGACTGGATGGAGGTAGTCGTGGATTTACTCAAGACTAGATCAGGTCAGATCTTAGAAATACGAGTGTTTGCTTTGAGAAGAGAGATTTCTCTGATAATGCTTTTTGCTTTCTTTATTTTTATTTCTTCCTTTTTCATGGACTATAACATATCTCCCGCGTCTGGCTTGCTTTCTGTGGGTATCTTTCCATGTCAGACATCTTGTCCGTGCTTAACGACGTGCACATCTAACGCGCTGGTCGAGGAGTCCCCGCCCACGTGGTCCCGGGTCCTTCCCGGTTACGATATCATCTGCCCGTAAGTCCCCTGGAACACAGAGTAGCAAGCGACGAGTGTATCCCACCCGGGACTGCTTTCACATCTGCAACTTCCAGACCATTGATGCTGACTTGTGGTCGTGGAGCATCGTCGTCTTGCCAGGGGACCAGGTATAGTCATGACGCTCTCTCCAGAGCGTGTTCCAATTCTGCAGATTTCTCCTGCAGAAAGCTTTCCTCACTGTTTTAATCGCAATTGGAATCATGCCAAGCGTGTAACAGCCCTCAAAACCATATCTTGATCAGTTCCTCGCTCACCGCGCTTGGCGTCAGCACGCCGCTTTCCGTTATCAATGCCGAGATGAGATGCGGCGGTGTGAAGTCGACTGCTTCATGTCTCATCGTCTTTGTACTCTCCGTATTTGCAGGGGCACCGTTGAGGAGGTCTGACATGTGTTTGGCTTTGTCTTCCGGAGACGATTCGTCCTTCCCAGCAAAACCCTCGTCGGCTTTGTTCTTCGCACCTGACGAGGATTCAGAATTGATGTCTTCCTCTGTCTTGAAGTCGACGACATGCTGGTCGATCGGAAGATCGTACTGCCCCAGCGGGTATAATCGAACAAACTTGTGGCTTTCAGCAACCACATAGAACGGCTTTCCCATAGCCTTGGCCAAAAGACCGATCTGGTAAGTGCCCATTCGTGACACAATACCGCCGTTTTCCACCACGCCCTCAGCGCCGACAATCACCATATCTACCATCCCCATTGAGTAAGCGACTGCAGACTCGGGAATGGTCGCAACGGGAACGCCCCTCGCCCTCAAAGCGCGCACCGTCTCCAACCCCTCCGGCTCAATGTAATTCTCTTTGTCATTGTTGATGTAGTGGAGGACATAGATGACGCGGAACCTCACAGCGGAGGGACCGCTGTTCTCATCCGCCGCCTTCTGGAGTAGGGCAGAGACGACGCGCGAGCCGCCGTTTGTAAGAACCGTGCTCCCATCTCGGACGAAGCCCCTTCCAAACGCAGCGATCTTCTGTCGACTTTCCTTGGCACGCTTAATGAAAAGGCGTCCATTGGAGAGCAGATGAGTTCGGATAGCGTTGAAGTCCCCTGCAGGCCCCAGCTGACCGGGTCTCTGGAGGGTAGTGATCAAATATCGTTGAAAGAGATCGGTGCCTGCAGAGAGCGCAATCGGGTTCGGAATGGCCTTCTTCAGGCGAGCGGTGTGAGTCTCGAGCAATTCAAGAGTCTCAGATATCGTCGAAGACGGGGAATGCGTCAGAAGGAGAACCAGGGCCTCGATGGCCGCAATTGGCATCGTCAAATCGGGATCGGAGCGAAGGAGGTCATTGTATGTGGCGACAATGCTAGTCTGCGTTAGCAGGAATGGCAGGATTTAGGTCGTGGTAACACCTACTCAAAAGACCCAGACTCGGTAGTCGCCATGGCTGCTAGATAAACCACGAGACGAGGTTGGCAGACGGTGAGTGTAGCGCCGAGTCGAGGGATTGTGACACTATAACTGCCTGCCTGCCAGAAATGTATCCGTTATTGTGCCGGAGTCGGCTGTTTGCATCGATTGCATCTGCGCCCCTCGCTGCACATGCATGCCTCCGCACTAAGCTGTTTTGAGCAGGCTCTCCAGTGTCGCGGTAAACAAAACAAGCAGTCCGCCGCCGTGTCAAGCATGCTCTGTGATAGATTTCGCAATTTCGAGGGAACACACTGCATGTAGACATGGCGTACAATCATCGAGTGAGCCAGCAATTCCATGGATCCCAGCAGCAACACAACCGCAATCGCCGCAAGGAAGATGAGAGCGATGCGTTGATGCGCCTGGTCAGTCAAGGAATTCCCAAGCATCTTAAGTATGCATATACTCATCAGAGTAATAGCCCGACAAGGAAATTGCAGGATGTATCAACGATATCGGGATCCCGTTCACCGCGAACGACTTGGTCAAGCCGAATCCTCAGCAGATTCAAATGGTGCTGGAATGGTTTGCGGAGCTTCTGATGAATACGACCCGTGAGACGGTGGAACCGGCGATGCGCGCAGCCGCACAAGATGTCTGCGGTGATTACGCCGACATTGTGCCTAACGAGACGCGTAATATGATGGCATTTTTCGTGAGTCTGAGGAAGTTGATGATTGAGGTACTACATCACCCTTCTGGCAAAGAGGCAGGGCAGTTTCTGACCGGGCTTCCAACACAGTGCGGAGTGAACGATTTTACATTTACGGATCTAACAAAACCTACGCATGATCGACTCGTCAAGATATTCTCCTACCTGATCAACTTCGTCCGGTTCCGAGAGTCGCAAACCTCCGTTATCGATGAGCACTTCAACAAATCGGAGAGGACCAAGGCCCGTATCGAGGCGCTCCACGCAGAGAATCAGGAAATGGAACAGCGTCTAGAAGAGATGAGGCGAAATCAGAAAGCGATGGAAGGACAAGTCAAGGAGAAGGTTCAACGGAACGATGCGCTGAAAGCACGGCTGCTAGAGCTGCGGCGGGAGCAAGAGAAAGTTGCGGAGACGCTGGAGCGGGTCAAGAGCGACAAGGCCAAACGGCAGGCAACATTGGAAGAGAAGATAGAAAAGGCGGTGCGCACCCGACAGGAGATCGAGAAGCTGCGGCCGTATGTTATGGAAAGCTCTGCGAGTCTGCAGGCATCTCTGACAGAATTATCGGAGAGCCTGGCCCGCGAGAAGGGACAAGTCGATGCGATGGAGAGGAGGCTGAGAGCTCTGCAGACGTCCACGGACACATTCACTGTCGTTGCTAATGAGGTCCAGGCCTGTGTGAAGGTACTGGAAGACATCTCCGTGGAGCTGCAAAAGGAGGAAGAAGAAGATGCGCGCGCCGCCAGGAACAGGGACGCGATTTCAGAACGAGGAAACAGTGTACGAGAAGTGGAACAGACGGAGAAATTACTGCAGCGGCAACTGGCTCGCTGGAATGAAAGGATCGAGGCTCTCAGAAAGAGTAGCCAAGAGAAGCAGGAACAGGCGCAAGCTCGGATGGAGGAGCTACGCAACATTCAGAAACAGCTCCGTGAAGAGCGCGCAGAAAAGCAACGAGAAATGGAGATGAGAAGGATACGGATCGAGCAGACTGAGAAGAAGGTTGGTTTCCACTTTGCCCTTCCTGGCGTCACCACGATTGCTGACATGACCTAGATGGCAGATCTGAAAGAGAACATCGAAAACGAGATCCACCGAGCGCATGATGAGTACTTGAAGCTTGAATCCCATATCAAGCTGTACATCACCGAAATGGAAAAATGTCTATGAGTAATACGGATCGGTTTGGATGGTCTTTGGAGTTCCGGTTGGCTCTAGGATACCCGAGGGTTCTTTGGGATTGGGTTTACAATACTTCTTGTACAGTACATATGCTTTGGGGGACTGGTTAAACATGCATCATGTCTGTATTTTCGAATTGAAACCATCTCTGCGCCACTCGCTTCACAGATACGTGGCGCCCAGACCATGAACTCCTTCCATCTTCAAGGCGGACCGCACCACTGAGCAGCGGCACCTGAAGATCCCACAGTTTTTCGCCGCGTTCGAGGTTCTGGGGGTCGAGCGCGTCATTACATTCACATAGCACCAGATCTGCCGCCGCTCTCGCAGCGGCCTCCACAACAATGGCCAGGGTGCGCGACAAGCCTTTGGCGGAAAACTCAGACGTCGTATAATGGACCGCGACGAGGTCTAGGATCGCCAGGCACCGTCTGCGATATTCTTCTGGTCCAGCCGACTCCTGCAACCTCTTCTGCCCGTCTTCAGAAGTAATGCGTAGGGTCGAAAGATAGGCACGAAGATGCTCGACGGACGGGCAAAACACCAATTTGACTTTTCGCGACTGCGCGATGAGGCCGATCGTTTTTGTTAGGAGACGATGGCGTCGTTCAACCGATTCGGACGGCGGATCTTCCGTGCCGTCCTCCAGTTGCTCATTATGACCTTCTCGTTGGTGAAGCCGGGACTCGACAGCGATACTGGCAGCCAGTTGCTCTAGAAATTGGGTCCGTGTAGAGCAGACGACCAGAATCGTTGCGCGGGCATTGTAGCAGAGTATATGGTTGACAAAGTCGGAGACCAAGTTCGCGAAGTGTACTGTCGCTTGCACCATTGGCCGTGTGTTGATCGAGCACGAGTAGAACGAAGACACGGCCTCGCAGTAGCGCAAATTAGATCTACATTGTTCTTTCAGGAGGCCTCACTGGTAGCAGTCTTTGTAGTTCCGTCAGTTCTCGTTGTGTTGAAGCGTAGTTGTTGACAGGATGTGGAGCAGGCGGAGGCAGGCGACAGTTGGGAAGAGCGATGGCACGCCGCTGACGATGCGCGCTCACATGGCCCCGCTGCTGTCTTGAACTCCGGTTTATTTCTTCACAACGGCGCACCACTGCTGCTTAGGGAGCCGGGGAGGTTTTTAGGGACAGCATGGAGACCATATCAAGGATTTCGTCCATGCTGGAAACAGGTATTGTCTCTCCCTCCGTCTGGTATTATTCGACGCCATCAAGCCGACTCCGTCTGCTAACGATCCACGCTATGTGCGTACAGCTCGAGAGCTCACGCTCGAAGCTGCCCAATCAGCCGGCGGCAGCAAGGGTTTGCGAAGCAATTCCTCTTCGCGTGGGCTCACTTCGGCGCAAATAAAGAAGCTTCTCGAAAGCCGCAATGAGCGCGACGTCTTGGAGGGGATGCGGAAGGTCATCGCCGTATGACACCCTGCGTCCACACGAACGGCAGTATCTGAATAATACTAATACCTCTGGCTGAATCTAGTTGATGTACCAATCCGAATCCTCTCTCCAGTACTTCTCCGCCGTCGTCAAAAATGTCGCGAATCCTAATATCGAAGTCAAGAAGCTCGTCTACATCTACCTGCTCCACCAGGCCGAAGCAGAGCCAGACCTCGCGTTGCTGTCGATAAATGCCATCCAGAAGTCCCTCACGGACCAGAATCCACAAGTCCGGGTAATGGCGCTGCGCACCATGTCAGGGATCAGGGTCCCCGTCATCAGCCAGATCGTGTCCCTCGCCATCAAGCGTGGCTGCGGAGATATGAGTCCCCATGTCCGCAAGGCCGCTGCATTGGCTATTCCGAAATGTTACCGACTAAACCCGAATACACTTCCGCAGTTGACGGAGTATCTATCGACGCTCCTGGGGGATAGCCAATATTTCGTCGTTGGGCCAGCCGTATCTGCGTTCCTTGACGTGTGCCCCGATCGCCTTGATCTCATCCACAAGCACTACCGGAGTCTGGTGAAAAAGCTGGTGGATATGGACGAATGGAGTCAGCTGGCTACTTTGCGGCTTCTGACCATTTACGCAAGGAAGTGTTTTCCCCGGAGGACGCAGAAGGTCAAGAAGGCAGGACCCAAGGGGTTCTACGATGAGGACGATGCGCCTAGCCATGAAGAGGCTGCGGGTGAAGACACAGGCGAAGAAGTGGTCGTACTGGACCCCGATCTGGAATTGTTCTTGCGAGCTTGCAAACCGCTCCTGCAGAGTCGTACCTCTGCTGTTATCGTGAGCGTTGTCCGTTGCTACCTCTACCTGGGCACGCCGGAGTATCTGGAGAGTGCCATCGGCCCGCTTGTGGCCCTTGTCCGCTGTCCACAGGACATTCAATATGTTGCGCTTTACAACATCGTAGCCGTAGCCTTGAGGGCCCCGGCTCCGTTTGCGAAATACGTCTCCCATTTCCTAGTACACTCTACCGATCCGCCGCATATCTGGCGGCTTAAGCTCGAGGTTCTGACGATCATATTCCCTCATCTCGGGATGCATTGGAAGGGTGTGATCCTCAGCGAGCTGGAACATTTCTCGCGAGGGAGCAATCCGGAATTGGTGCGAGAGAGCGTCCGTGCAATCGGACGTTGCGCACAGAGCGACCCCCGGACCTCGAAACATTGCCTTCGAGTGCTTTTGAGTCAGATCTCGAGCGCCGATGAGAATTTAGTCTCTGAGTCTCTTACAGTGATTCGCCATCTGATCCAGCAGGACCCATTGTCTCATAAGCAGACAGTGATCCAGCTAGCGAAGTATCTCGACACGACTACCAGCCCGGAGGCAAGAGCCTCGATTATTTGGCTCGTGGGCGAATTTGCATCCGTCGATCCGGAAAACAACATCGCACCGGATGTGTTGCGCATCCTGGCGAAGAGATTCGCCGACGAAACCGAGGTGGTGAAGCAGCAGATCGTCCTGCTGGGCGCGAAGGTATATCTGCAGCATCTCCTGCAGACTCATCCTCCGCAGCAGCCTCCGCCGAAGCCTGCTCAAACAGAGCAGGAAGACAGCAACGCCTGGGCTGAAACCCAGGATAGTAGTGGCGCAGCAGAGCAACAGCAATCACAAGAACAGCTGCCGGAAAAACCGCCAGAAGAGGACCGCATAACTCTTCTCTGGCGATACATCCTCCTCCTGGCGCGGTACGACGTCTCATACGACCTGCGCGACCGCGCACGACTCTACAAGGCACTACTCGCCAACCCCAACGCGACACAACTCGCTACCCTACTGCTCCAGGCGCCGAAGCCTGTTCCACACGCACCCAGCCCGTCGGACTCCCGGAAGGATCTCCTGATCGGCACTTCGACGCTTGTCGTGGGGCCTGACGCTGGATACCACGGGTTAAGAGGCTATGAGCCGCTTCCAGACTGGGTACCAGCTGGGCAGGAGCCCGACAGGAGCCTACGAGATCAGGGGATGATGATGGAATCTACTACCATAGAACGAGGCGCCGGCACCGGCACCGGCCTCACGGCCAGCGAGAGGCTGGACAGGGCGCTGCGAGAGCATGAAAGAGAAAGCAGCGCAGCAGCAGCACGAGGCAAGAAAATTGCTCCAACAGGAACTACTAATAATAATCGCCCCAAGACGCTGGACGAGTGGCTCAACGACGAGGACGAAGAATCCGAAGAGGAAGAAGAAGAGGAAGAAGAAACAGAATCAGAGTATGATGAAGAGGAAGAGGAAGAGGAAGAGGAAACCGAATCCGGCGAAGAAGAGACTGATTCAGAAGAAGAAGACGAAGAAGAGGAGGAGGAGGATGACGACGAGGAAGAAGAAGAGTCCGACGAAGGCGAGAGCCACGAGAGGAAAGGGCTGCTGAAAAAGGAAGATGAAGATGTATTACTAGGTAGAGCATAAATAGATAGATAGATAAATGATACCAATACCACCACCAAAAAAAATAACATGTGCTTAAATTGATCGGAATCTATCTCTAGGTAATTACTCCGTAGTGTAATCACTGTAGTGTAGTGTAGTCTATAATCTCAATCTATTCTAAGCCATTCTATTCTATTTTAGATATGCCTATAAAGGTAAATCTGTCCCCAATACCGACGACATGCGAAATACCCTAGTATTCTAGGAAGGCAATGGCCATGTCACTCAGTTCTTCTGTTCCTGACACAAGGGCATAGATACATCGGTTGTAGTTGTTGAAAAAGAAAAGTTCATAACGACAGGTCCTGCCTGCTTACATATATATTTACCTACCTAGAGAATCCAACGTGTCGCAGTCCTCGTCTTGGACTGGACAACTGTCCCAGAAGAGGGGACTTTCTTCGCGGTTTGACCTAGACCTGTACCGGCAGATGGGTGGTCCGGTTGATGAGATACTTCTTCCACTGCTACTGCCTCCGGCACGGCTCTGCTGCTGCTGAAAAGACCCTGCCATGCAAGCCTAAAAGCCTTTTCCAGAACCCTTCTGCCGTCGATGATCGGGTACACAGTAGCAATGAGCAAGCAGACGAAAAGCCATATCTCGGAGACGACTGTCCAGCCTTTGAAGAACTATATACCACCTGTTAGTATAATATACATTTCAAGGTTTGCTTGCTCGACCGAATTCGACAGGATTCACCGGTCTCGTGAAGATATAATCCCTGTACAGCGGCAAAGGCCACACAACCTATGTGACGAGGCCGACGACGGCGCTGAAAATGCTCGCGATCATGGCGGCGCGGTTCATCCGCTTGAGCGTCTCCGGTGAATAAGGGTGCTGTACGCTGTCCAGGTCCTTGGTCTCGAGAACGGCGACCCGGCCGTTGTCGCTGGACTCGCTGTCGTCGGGAGAATCTTCGTCCTTGACGGCGTTGAGGAGGAGGAAGATGCGCCAGTCGAAGTCTTGTGGCTGTTGGACAGGACATTATCTGCGTCAGCAGGGAATAACATGAACTGCTTTTGTAGTAAGGAAACTACAGCACAAGTCCATTAATACCTTAATGTAGGTGATGATGACGGAGTAGACGGCCGAGGAGAATGTCGACGTGATGGCCCCCCAGAGACAGGGCAGCTGGGCCGGTCGTTGAGATGGTCAATTCACCGCCGTAGGCATACGCCGTTCCAAGCCAGACTGCAATGCCGCTTGCCTTTTGTCTGGGTTAGACCCAAGTTACGTTAGAGATCGAGACTGAAAACTTACCAGACCGAGAAGAGGCGCAATGACAGCAGCCGCAACAGACTGCTTCTTCCACAGGATCGTAAACGCCAGCGGAAACATCCCCGGGCAGATGATCGTCGCCAGAAAGTACCCCATCCAATTCAGATCGATGCCGCCGTAGTGCAACGCGGTAGCGAATGCGGAAGCGAAGAAGCCGAAGATGATGACCGTCCAGTGCGAAACGCGAATCACTTGCCTGTTGTGGGCTTTGAGGTTGATGTACCTTGGTAGTTGCCTTCAACGTTTCGGGTCTTGGCCGCTTCGACCAGGACGTCGTAGAAGGAGTTGAGGTCGGTGATGGCAGGATTGTTGAACGCTTTCACAGTGAGAAAGCAGAGGATCATCACTATGAGGGTGTGACTGCAGAAAAGATCAGACGGTTATTCAACTCGACGATTTATTCCCCAGATACATTTCTCCGCGTATATATATCTGTACAGGTTGTTGGAAAAGATAGGGCTGACTCACACATAGTCCGTCAAGAAAGTCGCCTTCAACCCTCCTGCAACGGTATAGACCACCACACCCAGAGGCAGCAAGAAGGTCGATGCGATGATATGCATGCCCGTCACGCAGTGATCACCCCGGCAGCGCCCAGAATCATGGCAGTCACCGAGAGCAGATTGGTGACGAAGCACAGAAAGATATAGATCAGATGCGCAGTCGTCCCGTACCGGAGTCGGACGATCTCCAAGACGGTGTGACCATTTCTGTAGGATTTATTTATTTCCTTGTCAGCTATGTATATAACACCATGGTCAAATCTGAGGGGTAAACATCAGACATACGGCACTTTCACTTTGGCGTGGATCGCCAGGACAGTCATCAGCGCTATCTGGATAGAGCAGCCAGCCGCGTACCAAAACGGCGCCGCAATGCCGTAGAGATAGCCCTGAGCAGCCGTCCAGATGATTGCAGTTCTTGGGAAACATGTCAGTGTCTTATCCTGCCAATAATAATATGCTGAAAGCAAAGCACTGGGGAGTGGACATACGCCCACATCCACGACGATATGACCGCCGAAGCTGTCAGTCCAGTCCCGACACTGCGGTTGGCAACCATGAACCTGGGAATGCGGTCAGATAGGCTCAAAATTTATATCTAGTTTTTCTCCAAGATAGGGACTCAACATCTCAGTGTGGTCAGATCTTTCTCGCAGAAATTTCTCCAGGAATCTATTGACCAGAACCATCCCGATTCCAAAAGCGAGACCAACACCGACCACCACCCCATACCCAGCTCCCTGGGGCAGGGGGACAAGACTGTCATCAGACATGTATGAGAACAAAAGAGGAATAATAGGGGGGAAAAGATCTCAGCTTTTATCCAGATACTACAGAACGTGAAGTTAGGAAGGAAGAAGAGGAAGAGGAACGACTCAATATCTCCACAAGCCAATCGGGAAATTTACCATTCTATATAATTACGCACTGGCATATACGTTAATTTAATTAAGAATAAATTGTCTCTTTGGGTTATAGATCTGTCGCTGTTGGAGAGCTGTCTCGGAGAACTTCCATACGATCACATCATACTGCTCCACTCTAGGCTAATGGGGGAGGGGAAAATATATACGCGCGCGACTTTTGAAGATAAGCATCAGATAGCTCGACGCTAGATAATTGGATTGTCTTTTGCAATAATCGGCAGAGATGAGTAGAAAGGCAGAAAGGGATATCGGGAAACGGTACTCCGTAGATCTGTGGCAGGCGGGCTTTGTTTATTTTATGATAGTTTACCACCTTCTGGGCAAACCAGCTCCAAGTCGATAATAAGACATAATAGACATAGATTTAGATAAATATTTAAACGTACGTTCCCCTTCCCTTATGCGTTGATGCTCCCAGTTTCTCCCCCTTTTTTTTTAGGATGCTAAGGCGTCAAATTCAATACCATTTCGACTATTTAACATTTCGACCCATTGATAAGTGGCTATAAGAGGGGCACAAGCCTCAAATTATAGGGAAAGGTGCAGGTGAAAGAAACCTGATTTGGCTTCATTTGCTGCGACCCAAGATGCAGAGAGGAAAACCAAGCCGGAAGGAGCCCTAATAGTTCGAAGAGCTGGGGCTTGCAAAAATCAGCTCAGTCAAGGTAATATAATTCCGGACCAAGAATGACCGATCCTTGTGCAATGGACGCCCTCAAAAAGACCGGATGCAAAATATCCTGGACCCAACTGCCAATGAAGGCAACACCAAGTGGCGGGGCAGCTCATTCAGCACCTCTGCCGGACTCTGCGTCACCTGTCACCATCGTCGACTATAACAGTTAGCATACACCCAACCTACGAAGGCGGGGCGAAATACCTATACACCGAACTAACTTCCGCTTGACGAGCCCGGGCTTTGGGTACATCGTTTTCCTGGCGCCGCGGCCCATCATAGCGGTCCTCTGAAGAATCGGCAGACCTAGGTCTTTTCCGACCCCTTCTCTCTGAGTGTGGTGGACTCCGCGAACCCCAATGCTTGGCATTTTCACCCTGATATGGAGTGTCTGGAAGATGACTAGGCTGCTGTCTCCCGGGCCCTCTTCCAGATCTATACTCCGAGTTCGATGAATAGTTCCGGTAACTGCCAGAAACAGACATTGGTTGCCTGTGGTGAGGGTGTATTTTCATTGCAGGCTCTCGATACGATCTAGAATCAACAGCATGGCGCTTCAACCGTCTGTCGCTGTCACCAGGAGATTCATGCCGACGTTTCCGCGTTGATTTTTGTTCAAAATATGGGCGAGCGCGATCAGTCTCTCGACTTCTCTCTCGAAATGAGACCCTGTCATCAACTCTCTCTTTCTCTGGCTGTGGATTTTCGCTAACAGAATTTCTATGTCCACCAAACCTCTGAGATGACGACCTATCTCGACCAGCCTCAACGTTATCTTCGTGCACCTCTCCCTCTTCTGTTTCTTTGGGAATGCGAAGGCTATGAGTCCGAAGTATACGGTTCCGGCGAGACACAAGCTCTTCGATAGAGATCAATTCGCAATCAGTCGAGATTACGCGGAATATAGGATCATCTTTTAAAGACGACCAGTACTTGGTCTCACGGATATGACGCTTCAAATCTTCAGCATCCTTATCTGAGATGTACCTCGACACGGACATTCCTTGCTTCAGGGCTTCAACATTTGTGACGGGCTCAATTTCATCTTGCGCAGAAAAACTCGAAGGGAGTGGTCGGGCAGCCAGGTTAGGTGGTCGCCAGACTTGATCTGCCGTTAGCAGGCCATCCTAACAGTAAAAAAAAAAAGTAAAAAAAAAGGAAGCTTACCGATCTGGTCACGAGAAGACTTCATACCTGGCTGTCTCTCATATGACTGCCTATCTTCCACCCATGGTTGACCAGGAGGCCAGGAAGGCCGATTGTCGTCTAGGGCGTGCTGATGATGCAGGAGAGGTCGACTACGTCCATAATCAGGCGGTTGCTGATTATGTTGCTGATAACTGTACTGTTGGTGTTCCCAGTTCAAAGCGAAGTGCTGCTGGTGGTGCTGAGGAGGGAAATAGCCGTGATACTGATGTCCACCATTGGGAGATACAGGGCTTACGAACTGTGGATTGTGAGTACTTATGGGATTTTGCAGTTCGTGTGAGCCAGACGCTGGGAAAGGCTGCCGCGGGGAAGCCTGAGGCGGAGACGGTTGCCAAGGATAGTAATCCGCCGAGTGCGTCGACATTGGCGTCGGAGGGAAGTTATTGTGAACTGGATAATTTGGTTGAGCTCCTGTTAACGGATCTCCCCATTGTTGCTTGTATGGCGGTGGGAATGACTGGGACATCGGGATAGGACGACTCGTCTTTTGTCGTTTCGAGGGCTGAAACCCGATCTCGGCACCACTAAAACGACCAATTAGCACCAGTAATAGTAACAGTAAAACTGACGATAGAATTTCAAGCACTTACGCAGGATCGAATTCACGTGGTCGAGGACAATCCTGAGCCCAGTGCTCGGGAGATCCGCAGTTGAAGCATGTGGAGAACTTCTTTCGAGGTTCTGGGTAACCGCCATTTTCAGGGCAGTCCCTGTCATAATAATATGTCGTATTGGAAAACGAAGGATATCTCGACCTCCGTTCATTAGGGGTCATTGGCGGATGGGTTTGAAATGGCTGGCCATCTCGAGGGGAGGGATATGCCTCCATTTGACGGGCGTCGTTGGAACTGTTGAGTCCAGAGAAAAGGAGGGTTGGCGGACTTCGCCTCTATATTCACAGACGGTCGATCCAAAAAATCCAAGAGCACTGTAGGAAAAATTGTCATTGAGGTACGAGGACATTGACAGCTTTGGCGACCCCGGAAGGCCATCAGTTTCCCAAAGAGGTAAAAGCAAAGTATACCCAAAGAAGCAGATACTGAAGAATTTCAATGAGCGGAAAGCCATAAAAAAGCAATCAACGACAAGCGGAGGTCCGAAAGGAAAGTGGTGTCTCGCTCTTGGTACAGGATGGCCCTTTCCTCAAGTTGGGCAGATTCATTGGGATCAGCAGTATGCCACTGTATGTACATGCACCCAGCCCTCTCCTTTCTCTCGAAGAATGGAAGAGACGATGCACCGGCTGATGAAATAAACTGTATATAAAAAAGTAGACAACACCCAAAATGACAGCAGAAACGAGACAGGAGCTCATTGCAGAGTGTCTGGGGAGGACAAGCGCGCCTACAGGGTGGAATCCCATGATTGCAGCCCAAATGTTGCCCAGAGCCCTGCTCACGTGCGGCTGCCAGGAACGGATCAACCCTGGGAACTGCAGGGGTGCCGATGCGCATTGATAGGGAAGGCGGTCAGACGCAGCAGAAGGCCGGTTAATAATATTGTCGATCCAGCCACGGTACAGCCCGCAGCGCGCCCAGCAGATGCAACAGGCACCAGATTGATCTTCACGATTGGCGCTCTGGCTGCACTGCTAGGGTCTTCCTGCTCAGTCCCTGCTCTGCCATCTCCTGCCCAGGACATGATGGTAGCTGTTCCAGCAAACGCTGTCAGACATAATATTTCCCTTCCTTCCCACTCATTCTTATAAGCTCCTTTGTGCTGCTCATACCCCCCTCTGCGACTTCTGCCACAACTGTCTCTGTCCTGGTCAGATCATCTTGCGCGTGAAGAGAGATCTGATCTGATCTGATCGCGTCACGATGCCTGGGTTACCATGTAGGTAGCCCTCTTGCGGAGTCACACAGGAAAACAGGTCCCGACTGACTGCTCTCTCAGCCAGTATCGACTTGGACGAATGCATCGAGCGGCTCTACAAAAAGAGTTACTGGCAGATTCCGTGATCGAGGCAATATGCGCCAAGGCAAAGGAGCTTTTGATGAAGGAGAGCAATGTCGTCCACATTGCTGCTCCCGTCACGGTG